ACGTGTAAATAGAGGTTTTGCCTACGTAATAAAAAAGGGGCTTGATGATGAATGCGTAATTGCTCGATGGCGCAAGTGGTTATCGCGTTCGGCTGCGATCGTTGAAGTTAAGCAACTTTCGCAGTGGTCGGTCATTGGATGGGTGACCAAAAATTTTCTATCTCCGCGTGGTGGTTCAGGGCCCAATCTCCCTTTTCCATCCATATGTGCCTCAGCAGTGGGGACATTAATAGGCTGATCATGACCCTGTAAGCTGTTAAGTGCAGAACCGCGGGATCCCCGTTGAGGGACTTCACCGCGTCTCCGCACCCAACAGCCTGCCGGCCTAGCCAACTGTTCCACAACTCGAAGGAATCGCATGCAGCGGTACTTTCTGTCGGCAGGTCTTATAAGTGTTGCGGATGGGGGGGGCGGTACGGTGGGCACTAGGCCGCGTACTCAGCCCCCACGCGCAGGCCTACCTGCGCACGTCTGCGGGGTCCCCGTAATACCGCGGGAGACCCCTGCCGTGGAGTCCCGGCGAAACCGGGAAGCTGCTGGGGGCGGAGCCGTGGTAGAATCCCTAACGGGGACCCTGCGGCTCCGCACTAAGCAGTGTTGAAGGTATTCGCAGGACTTTTTTAGCGGATATTATGCCGTAAAGCGCCCGTAAGAGTTGCGGGGTCCTCGGTGGGATGCCACTGGGGGGCCCGTAAGACTTGCGGGAGCCAGGTGTGAGGTCCGTTCGGCGGTGTGCCTCTTAAAGGCGCCGTCGTCTTTAAAAAGATTCTTTACCTGCGTAATAAAATAAAAAAAAGGTCTTATAAGTGTTGTTTGTGGGTTGTCTTATCTCACTGGCGTGTTCGGAGTACTGATGTTCGTTTTGTTGCGTAATTGCCTTGATAAGATGAGACGGTTTCCCTGGTTGCTTAAGCGATGCGCTCGTGCCGTGACATCCCGGTTGCATCATCGCTGGGCCAGCAACGCCCAGGCCTGGATCAGTGCTTTCTCAAACACATTTTATTAACGGATGAAGTTGTATGACGAAGGAGGAAGGAATATAAGTATTATGAAAAAGTAGGGCAGGAGGTCAATATTTTGTTAGGTTTATGCTTCAGACTAGGTTGCCAATGCTACTTTATATTATAGTATTCTACTTAGGCCGTATACAGAAAGAAAGCCGAAAGCCGACCAACGCTTGTCGGCGCTTATCGGCGCTGGTCCATAGAAGTCTTGCGCCGGTTACCGGTATGGACCGGCGCCGATAAGCGCCGACAAGCGCTGGTCGGCTTTCAGCTTTCTTTCTGTACCAGCATTAGGGGATCAAATACTATATTTCTAAAACAATATAATATATAGTAGGCGAAACTACTATATTTTGTTGAAAGCAGATATTTACCAGTAAAACCATTTTTAAAATTTAATTATTAAGTCATGTTACAGAGCAGCAAGAATTATTCATTTAAAAAATAAAGTTAATATTTTAATCACATACTAAATGGAAAAAAGTATAGACTTTTTTCCATTTTCTTTCCATTTTTAAAATTTTCAAACAGTTATTATGAATAGTCATCAAACATATTTTAATAATTTTAAATAACTTTGTGCATTCATATATTAAATTATTATCTACTTGAAATTTAAATATTCATCCACAGAATAGCAGCATTTATCATTTTTTTTAGTTTTGTATTAAATGTATGTATTATCTCAGTGTTTCCTAACCTTTTCAATACTGCTACCCCTGTAACCTATTAAGAAAACAGGTTTTACCCCGACTTTAAAATGTTATCAATACAAACAAAAAAAGCAAATTCAAATAAGTTCCTTAATCACAAATTTATTATTATTATTAATCAATATAGGCCACATAAAAAAAACAGAAATTGCAGAACACTATTACAATTTTAGATTGTTCATATTTTAACTATGAATTAATAATAATAATCATTGTGAAGGTTGGAATTGTCTTGCATTTATAAGTTTTTTTTTAAGTTAGGTTTAGTTTCACTTAAAACGCATCTCAAGTCCTGTGTTTCTGGCATCTCTTATCTATTAGACAAATCCGTCCGTCTGTCCGTGGTGCTGTTTCAGCGGCCAAACCGTAAGAGATAGATAAAGAGAATATTTAAGTTATAAGTTAAGAATAGTCTGATAAGACTACAAACCGGATTTGAGTAACGTAGCACTTCCAGTTTTCGAGAAATCACGAATTTCAAACGAAACCACACAAAATCTCCGAAGTTCTCAATTAATCAAATACATTTTTTTTGTTAAATCAGGTTTTGGTGAACATTTGGTTCACTGGTTTGCTAGTTTGTTTTTAATAGAAGTAACTAAAGTTGAAAAACCACTCTTGCATCTGTAGATGGTGACTAAGGTTATTATAATTTTGAAAGTTAGCTGTTGGCTATAACTAGGGCTGCCATCCGTCCGGGTTTCCCCGGATTTGTCCTAGTTTAAGGGGCGTCCGGGGAGCGTCCGGGCGGGGTTTCATTTGTCGTCCGGGTTTAAAAATTTCCTGTTTTGGGTCGCCAATTAATCTGTCAATTTAAATGTCTTTGAAAATGAATAAATCTATTCTAACACTGTAACCATAATTGCAGACTTCCAACAAAAATCAGCTTTCCTTGGTGCTGCAAGTGTCCATGGGCAGCAGTGACCACTTATTATGAGGTAGACCGCTACCTCTTTTGCGTACATCAACAAAAAATAGTTGATTTGTGACATTTTTGACTGTTTTTCTATTGGTCTGTCCGGGTTCTGGGCTCCAAAATCCGGGGTTGTCACGCCTCTGATCCTGGTTGCCACATTTTAGAGATAACAGGATATTTGGCACTTGATTTTATCCAAAATGTGCTGAGATCATAAATTTTGAAATTGTACTTTGAAAGTGACTACTCTCGCGCAGTCCAAGAAATTCTAATTTGGCCGCTACTTCCTCGTCTCTAATAAAATTCTTGCCCCTCCTTCCACACTCAGCACCCCGCGGTCTCGCTAGCAGGCATGCAACTTGCGTTACTTTGAATACTAAATTTTCTTTCGAAGTACTGAATTTTCTTGTTATTTAGATTTTCCCAAATAATTAGGTTCTTTGGTACCCCTAAAAGTATAGCTGATTTACCCCCCGGGGGGGGGGGGGGGTAATTACCCCCAGGTTCGGAACACAAGATCTATACGAACACGTCCTTCGGAAGCGAGCTGCATCTGCATGCAGTGAACAGAATACTAGTACATTTTCTTATCTCTCGGTTCTCGGTGCACGCGTACCGTGTCAAGTAAACATGATACGTACTCGATTTTACAAATTGACAAAATGAAGAGTCGGTTGAGATAGCAGTGGTATTATAATGTTTATTAAAATAAAATGTCATCGTGTTTCCAGAACGTTACTTTGGTAACATTTTGCGTTACTTTTACTCAAGTCTAATGAGAATTGAAATCAATATAATAGGGATGATGACTAATTTCTTTTTCGTTTATCAGGTAGATTATGAAAAAGTATTGGACACGTATTTTTTCTTTTTTCACATAATATGAACATTGCAGAGATATATTGATTTGAAAAGTCGCATGACGTCACGATTGAGTACACTTAAAAGTGACGTCACGAGCCCCTACTCCCAAACTTTGACGCGCTATAACTTTGTCACTTTTTGGTTGATTGCGCAAAGAAAAAATACGTGTCCATTATTTTTTGATGATCTAACTGACGGACTAAATAGAATTTCGTCATCACCCCTATTAATAGGTATTGGAAATTATCAAACATTAAAAACGAGTGTGCTCATGACCACACGAGTGAAGTGAAACTTTTTTAGCTCATATGTGTGTACAATATATACATATACATGTATGTACATATACATATTTCATTTACTAGCTATAAGATAAACTCGCACTGTTTTCTCTTGCTTATATCCCCCACTCAATTCCCGTTTGCCTCGTCCGAACACACTTTTCGTAACGCGTAACGCATTCGCCAGCTAACCCCCCAAGTCGAACGTGCCTAAAGAATTTTCACTACAAATTATAAATGTATAGATCTGAACTGCAGATTATTAGTTTGAGTAGGAAGTCGGGTCTTCTTGTTAAACAGTTTAAATATTTATATTGATCTACTAGGATAAAATATGTGGACTGGTTTTTGTCAATGAGGAGTTCCATGGCGTTACTTTTGCTTATTGAGACCTGGCAGCACTGGCTAGTCGCTCAGTGTATTCTTTAAGTCCTTGGTTATGCCCGAGTTATAGCCATGGCCACAGTTTGTAAGCATGTTGGCCACAATATTGGCGGGGACATCGGCCAACATGTGCGTAGAGTTGCGCATGTTTATCGTAGGGGGATGGACCTGCTATCGGACGCACCGCCAACTGCCCGATAACGCGCAACGAAGGGAACTGCCGCTCCTACAATGAAATATGTAACATTTATACACGTATTGTTTTTTATAAGCTACTAGCGGCCCGCCCTCGCTTCGCTTCGGTGTAGAGCTGAAGTGTAGACTACAGTTTTTGTTCTCAGGCTTGTATTATACACAATGACATTCATCTATGATTCTTCTTATACCTGCATTCAGTCTCAGCCCGATCGGTTTAAAATTGACAAAGTTTCATACAAACTTTCATACCCTATTTTATCCCCTTGGGGGTAGAATTGATCATAAGCCTTTCAAAGCGGATGCCTACGACATAACATTTACCTGCATGCCAAATTTCAGCCAGATCCGTCCAGTGGTTTGGGCTGTGCGTTGATAGATCACTATGTCAATCAGTCAGTCACCTTTGTGTTTTATATATATAGATTTACGTGCGTTTTTAAGGTTCCGTACTCAAATTTTAAGCCTCCGTCTCTGCTGTACTATCAGATCACAAATAAAGACATCCGTTGTTTTCACCGAATAACGGACCATCAACAAACTGAGATCATTGTATTCGTATAGAATATTCTGCCGCATGGAGTATACCTTAACTTTGAAGATTTCTCTGACGTGTGCTAAGTATGGTTTCTTTTGTTTGCAGTGATGGCAGCAGTGCAGGCAGCCCGAAGGAGGCGTGCGTGGCGCAGTCCCCCCCGCCGGCCAAGCGGGACGTGCGCCATCACCGCCACGAGCAGCGGCGAGTCAGCATCGGTCAGTATCTACCGCCACACCAGCCTTACAGCGATGACAGCAGCATCGGTCAGTATCTACCGCCACACCAGCCTTACAGTGCTGGCAGCCTGCAGCAGGCGTGCGTGATGCAGTCGCCAGCGCCTGCTCAGCATCGGTCCGTATCTCCCTCCACACCAGCCTGACAGAGAAGGCATCAGCGTCGGTCAGTATCTATCGCCACACCAGCCTGACAGTTATGGCATCAGCGTGAGCAGCCCGCAGGATGCGTGCGTGGCGTAGTCGCCAGCGCTGGCTCAGCATCGGTCCGTATCTCTCGCCACACCAGCCTAACAGTGATGACAACAGCGCGGACAGCTCGCAGGATGCGTGCGTGGCGTAGTCGCCAGCGCTGGCTCAGCATTTGTCCGTTTCTCCCGCCACACCAGCCTGACAAAGAAGGCATCAGTGTCGGTCAGTATCTACCATCACACCAGCCTAACAGTGATGGCATTAGCGTAGGCAGCCCGCAGGAAGCGTGCGTGGCGGAGTCGCCAGCATCTGCTCAGCATCCATCGGTCTGTATCTCTTACCACAGCTGCCTAACATTGATGGCAACAGCGCGGGCAGCCCGCAGGATGCGTGCGTGGCGTAGTCGCCAGCGCTGGCTCACTATCGGTCCGTATCTCTTCGCCACACTAGCCTGACTGTGAAGGCATCAGCGTCAGTCAGTATCTACCATCACACCAGCCTTACAGTGATGGCTTTAGTGTAGGCAGCCCGCAGGAGGCGTGCGTGGCGCAGTCGCCAGCGCCTGCTCAGCATCGGTCCGTATCTCTCGCCACACCAGCCTAACAGTGATGACAACAGCGCGGGCAGCCCACAGGATGCGTGCGTGGCGTAGTCGCCAGCGCTGGCTCAGCATCGGTCCGTATCTCCCTCCACACCAGCCTGACAGTGAAGGCATCAGCGTCAGTCAGTATCTACCATCACACCAGCCTTACAGTGATGGCACTAGCGTAGGCAGCTCGCAGGAAGCGTGCGTGGCGCAGTCGCCAGCGCCTGCTCAGCATCGGTCCGTATCTCTCGCCACACCAGCCTAACAGTGATGACAACAGCGCGGACAGCTCGCAGGATGCGTGCGTAGCGTAGTCGCCAGCGCTGGCTGAGCATCAGTCCGTATCTCTTCGCCACACTAGCCTGACTGTGAAGGCATCAGCGTCAGTCAGTATCTACCATCACACCAGCCTTACAGTGATGGCTTTAGTGTAGGTGCCCGCAGGAGGCGTGCGTGGCGTAGTCGCCAGCGCTGGCTCAGCATCGGTCCGTATCTCCCGCTACACCAGCCTTACAGCGATGACAGCAGCATCGGTCAGTATCTTCCGCCACATCAGCCTGACAATGATAGCAGCAGTGACGGTTAGTATCTACCGCCACACCAGCCTGACAGTGATGACAGCAGCGTCGATCAGTATCTACCGCCACACCAGCCTGACGGTGATGGCAGCGGCATCGGTCAGTATCTCCCGCCACACCAGCCTGACAATTTCCTCACTGCTGTGGAAAAGTCTTTGGAATGTTAAAAGAGTGGCGAACAAGCATTATGGTCCGCCTGATGGTAGCCACCATAGCCTATAGACACTTGCGATACATAAAATGTCACTAGCCACGTTGCCTCCTACCCTGACACAATCTCCTACCCTGAGGAGGTCTGGAACCTTATTCACAGACAGAAATTCAAGACCATCAAATAGTAGTGTTATTTTCTGTAAGTTGGAGGGTACGTACACATCAGTTCGAATTAAAGCTCCTGTCTCGTCATCATCATCATCATCATCTCAGCCTTACGACGCCCACTGTTGAGCATAGGCACGCCCACTGTTGAGCATAGGCCTCCTCCATGGATCTCAACATCGATCGTTCCTGTGCCACGCTCATTCATCAAGCGCGCAAGCGCCTGTCCGGGGAAGTCAAACTAAATTCAGTATCGTATTCAGCCTATAAACGCTGAGAAGAACCGACAAGAAACTCAACAAGGGCTGTCTTTTTCTCCCTGTATTATATACAGTGTCGTCAAATTGAAAAATGACTTCAATATCCTTGTGGTTTGTGTACAGGCGGAGGCGCGGGCGGGTCGCGGCGGGCCGAACGCCGCGCCGCTGCCGGCACCGCCGACCGCAGACCAGGTAATATGACGCACACCCATTTCATACTGACCACACGGCATGGACAGGCTAACCAACCATCTGGTCGCGTCCAAATCATTAGTCTTTTGCGTAGGAGCTATCTCTACTGGTTCACGTAATATCCCTTCTCAATGTTTGACGCGCTTGAATATTGTTTTAAACTATTTAACGGGGAGAATGCGTTTAAGCATCCCGCCCACTGGGCTAGTGAGTGGGTGTGTGGGACTCTCCCGGCTAAAGAGATAGCCGGGAATACTCCACTAAACTCCCGGGAACTTCGCCTCGCTATAAGTGAGCGGGCCACGAGCATGCGCAGGGCGCTGACTCGTGTAGGCCTACTCGGCGGTGCCCGCACAGTAGTCTGCGCGGGCTGATCTACGTGCCAGAAGCATGGGGCATCCGCGTTCCGACGATGCCCACTGGGCTAGTGAGCGGGGGTGTGTGGGACTCTCCCGGCTAAAGAGATAGCCGAGAATACTCCACTAAACTCCCCGGGAACTTCGCCTCGCCATAAGGCTCGTGTGGCCTACACTACTGCCTACACGAGCCAGCGCCCTGCGCATGCTCGTGGCCCGCTCAATTATGGCGAGGCGAAGTTCCCGGGGAGTTTAGTGGAGTATTCCCGGCTATCTCTTTAGCCGGGAGAGTCCCACACACCACCGCTCACTAGCCCAGTGGGCGGGGACGGCGCTTAAACGCATTCTCCCCGTTAAAAATAGTTTAAAACAATATTCAAGCGCGTCAAACATTGAGAGAGGATGTTACGTGAACCAGTAGAGATAGCTCCTTTTCAAAAGACTAATGATTGGACGCGACCAGGAGGTTGGTTACCACGTTCATGCCGTGTGGTTAGCGGTGCCCGCCCAGTAGTCTGCGCGGGCTGATCTCCGTGCCAGAGGCATGGGGCATCCGCGTTCCGACGGACACCCCACCGTCGAAGGGAAAACTATTTTTTTTTTTAATTCAACTATAAGAACTTCCGGTTAATGTTTCTTGTTCGCTGTGAGAGGTTTTGTCTTATCTGTTTTGAGGAAACTGACGCGGTCGCCCGCTCGCCACACCCGCGTAAGCGCTTTCCCTTTGCTGAGACGAAAGCTTTCGCTACGGTGCGATTCAACGGCGCGGCGGCGAGCTGGTTGCGTAAGCGCAGGGCGAGCAGAATTCTGTCTCTCGCCAGATAAATGCTTTTATGAACGTAACTTTGTTTGATGAGGGTTTGCAAAGGAAAGTTATTGGGAATTTTCAAAAAGGATAGCGCAGTAACATCATATGGGTTAGAGTCATTTGCCTGCCTAACTGATAAAGAAAAAGAATTGTGTGCACGGAGCACACATCTGAAGTGTATAAGGCATAGGGGAATGGTGCAGTAACGTTTCAACCTTCGCCGAGTTACCCTCCAACTTTCTTGCTCATCGGGAATAGCTACACACGCAAATCCCCCCCCCCCCCCCCCACTACACACACCCACATATATATTGTCCTGTGACGCTCGTGACGCATTTCCGTTTCATCTTTATCATAGAATTTTAACATGTATGGGATGTATCCCATCCGAAAAGAGCGCGGGGCTATTGAAAATCTTCGGCGGTCAGAAATAACAGAATTCAATCGTAAGCGACAGCCATAGCAATCCCGTTAAGAGCCCTTTTACAAAATTGCGCCGCTGCCGTACTAAACGGCGCGTAGGTAGATTTGCACTAGTATATATTGCATTTTACGGGTGATGTTTCGAGTCTTATAAAATAATTATTAATGAACTAATCATAAAAATATATGCATAATTCAGTAGTTCAATGATGATAGATTAGTTTTATGAAAGTTTTTGATAGTAATTCTATTTAATTCAATATCAAATACGAGGTAAACCAGCATTATTTTGGGAAAACTCACGGAAGTTAGATGTTTTTTTTTGATAATTAATGAGATGGAAAATCAAAATTCTAATACATTATGTTACAACAAAAACATATTTCTGATGTCGTAGTAATTAATTTGATCTAATTTATTCAACATTATTTAGAGATTGAGGCGTTTGAAGATGTGCATATTTTTTTTTTTCCGTAAACTAGCTGCGGTAGAACGATCAATACAAAAAAAAAGGAAAATAGTATTTGCAAATATTCTACATTAACTTACAATAAGAAGAATAATTCTACTGTTAACTTCTATTGGAAATAGTCAAAATCTTTTCCAAGGGGGTAAACGAGGCGCTCAAAAATTACGATTTATTGCAAAAAATGTGAAAGGGCTCTTAATCGAATGGTCCCCTGGTAGGTTAAGCGGGCTGTCAAATTCTCAAGTCTTCGTTTAAAATTGTCCGATTATGTCCACAATGTCCTAACAGTTTCTCCCTGGTTGCCTTGCAGACATGCGCGTGAGCCCGGGAGCAGGCGCAGGCCCTTCAGCGGAGCCCCCTTCGCACGTGATGCATCATGCTCACCACAATCATTTGGTATGTACCATCACACCACCAACACTATCAATCATCATCATTCATCATCATCAGCCTATTAATGTCCCCACTGCTGGGGCACAGGCCTTCTCTATGGATGGAATAGGGAACTCACCACGCGCGCACAGTGCGTATTGGCGGGTGCTAACGACTGCAGATGCTGCGGCTTAACGTGGCTTCCGAAGAACGGGGGAACTCGAGATAGAAGACTTTTGGTCACCCATCCAATGACCGACCACTGCGAAAGTTGCTTAACTTCAACGATCGCAGCCGAACGCGCTAACCACTTGCGCCATCGAGCTTCTCTGTCAAATGTTTTAGTTCTCGTTTCGTACTTTGTGGCGCTGCTGTTCAAGTTTCCATACAAAATTTGACATTGACATTTCGGACTCACAAACGTTACGAATTCCATATTGATTCGTGCTAGGGGTACAGTTCTGCGGCTAATGTGACCAGCCTACAGCCACTTCAGTTTGCTAATTCGGTGGGCTATGTTGGTGACTCTGGTTCTCTGTCGGATTGTGATTATATAGTAGGATTTATTTTAGACTTGCAACGAATAGTATATTCGGCAGTATACCGAATATTCGGCGAGGCCCCTGACCGAATAGCCGAATATTAGGCAAAAGTATTCGGCTGGATTTTAGCGCCAAAAACTTGTACAGACGTGATTGTTTCGCGCTCCTTTGTTTTGTTCTAATCTGCCGTCCTCAAGCTAAAATGCGGCTAAATAACAAAACCAACTTTTGAGATATGGCCAAAAACGGCGCGTAAACTTTAAATTATTGCTGTTATGGAACCATACATAACATGACTGAATGAATTAAAAACTGATAACTTGTTTAATACAGAAAATTATTAAATTATGTACCTGTTTTATGTACCAATGACTACTTAAATGATTATATTATATAACAGAAATGAAAATATGAATATACAGAAATCAATCGATTTTAATTTTTCATTTTACCAATTATTTCTCTATGACAAAATATATTATTTAAGTATTCGGCCGAATAATATGTAGATATTCGGTATTCGGCCGAATATAATAAAAGCAGCCGAATAGGCCGAATACCGAATAGTAACCGAATATTTGTTGCAAGTCTAATTTATTTGTTTCGTTCTCTTAGGACACCAACCCGCTTGAAGGACCAGTGGAGTCGCTCGTGTCGGGCGGGGGCTCCTCCGACGGCGAGCTGTCCTCCAAGGCGGGCGACAGCCCCAGCAGGAAGCGGCGACGGATATCGCGACATCTGTCCTCAGGTGAAGTAATAAATAGATAAATAAAAGAATTATACATGGTGTTAAAAAAACCTATGACGAAGACTTAAACTACGCTTTCTGTACACTCAAACAAGTAATATTGCAAAATATTATATGTGGGAATTATTCTTATTTTTTAGTCAAAAAATTAGGGATGTCGAAAGTTGAAAAAAATATCGATATATCGATACATCGATCTTTTAAAAAATATCAATTTTCCCAAAAATATCGTACAGTATCTCACGAAATATGACACGCGGAATAATAATGGAACAAAAATTATCTTCCTAAAAAGAGACCCTATTTTCGAATGATGAAAATGATTGCAGGGCCTCTCAGGTAAATGATTGCAGGGTCTCTTTCGTAAACAAGACTAGACAGTCACACATTTCACAGAATATAATGGAAATCAGCACAACCAATTCACCAGCGAAACATATTTACAAATAATAGACAATACTAAATACAGCACAGATCATAAATATGTTGAATATCATTAATCTGAGATCCAGTTACGATTTTTCCAGATACGAATTTAGTTAGATCGTGATATGTCGCTAATAATTATAAAACTATCGTTTTTGATACGAATTTCGATATTGGTTATTTTGTATCGATGTATCGATATATCGAATCAAAATATATCGGCAAAAAATATCGATATATTTTCAACAAGCCTACAAAAAATTCAATTATAGCGCGGCGCGCTACTGTGGCGCTACGCAAAGAATGTTCCTGCGTCTATGTGTGGGCGTGTGTGTAAGTGCGTCGATAAAAAAGTTTCTAAATAACGTTTTGAAAATATTAATGTAAACATCTGGATTTTTTTAATTTTTTTGTTAATCTTAACATACTAATATTACATTTTTTTTTATTAATGTCAACAAAAGGTAGAGTCAGATTAGAGCAGATTAGAGTTAATTATAGAGGTAAGTTTTTTCCTGCCTTTTGCTGTAGAGGCAATGGGTCCTTGGGGCCCTGCTACAAAAGTATTTCTTAAGGACATGACTGCTCGCCTGTGCGAGACTACGGGGGACCCAAGATCTGGTAACTTTTTTGCTCAAAGAATTAGTTTGGCGATACAGCGAGGCAACGCTGCCAGTCTTCTGGGCACCGTGCCCCGCACAGGCAAACTCAATGAAATATTTAATTTGTAATTATTGTTCTACCTTTTGTTGACATTAATAAAAAAATAAAATGTAAACATCTTGAAAAAAAATTTAAGCTTTGACCTTTTATATCTCCATGACAATAAATTTCCCAGGTGTTCGAATAAGCATTAAAATATATTATACGAATAGTAGTTATAATATTTGCCACTAGATGGCGCTGTACCATGATGAATCGCGCTAAACTTTCGCGTCAGTGTTTTACATATAAGGAATTGGTAAGAAATAAATCCTTCTTGTTTTCGCCTTGGACACAGTTTTGTCTTTTTATTTCATCTACGTATTCAAAAGGAAAAAGCGCGAGAAACCCTTTTCATTTTTTATGTGAGATCTGTACACCAGGTATGGTCCAAAAGAAAAAAAAAGATCGCCATGATTTGGAAAATACGTGGTTTTTGGACTTCGTGAAAGGTTTTTTTACACCCTGTATATAAAAGAATTATATATCACACACACTAATTAGCCAAGGAAAGAAAAAACCGGCTAAGTTCGAGTGGGACTCGCGCACCGAGGGTTAAGTAAAATATGAGATGCAACTGAAAATTTTCACGACCTCCGTGGCCGAGTGGTTTGTACGCCAGGTTTCATGGTGTCGCCGACTCGAGAGGTCCCGGGTTCGAATCCCGGTGGGGGCGTATGTTTGTGTGATGAATACGAGCATTTGTACTCCAGTCATGGATGTTTGATATATATTTCTATATGTATAGTATATGTATTCTATCCGTTACCCTAGTATCGGCTAGGATACGGCTTAACGTGCCTTCCGAAGCACCGAGGAACTCGAGATAGAAATTTTTGGTCACCCATCCAATGACCGACCACTGCGAAAGTTGCTTAACTACAACGATCGCAGCCGAACGCGCTAACCACCTGCGCCATCGAGCTCCTCCTATGAAATCATACAACTCTAAATATAGTCACATTGATATATTTAATCTTAATTCTTTGAAATTCAGAAAACTAATTTGTAACTCGATTAAGGCACAACATTTTTATTTCTTTTTGTTTTGTTTATGTTCAGTATGATGTCAAAAATTGTTTCTTTTTTCTCTCCTGTTTACTAGACACTATGTGAGATAAAGAATAGTGGAAATTACCTAGGCAATTGTTTTAAACTTAATGTTATATTTTTTATGTGAAAATTAATGCTGTTATTTCCATAAAAATAAATAAATAAATTCCAATTTTCTTATAACTTTGTCGTGTGATTGCAGGTGAAAGTAACGTGTCGGCATCCACACCCGCCGTTGAGAGACGGACGCCCAGACACCACTACCAACCGCCGTGAGTATACATGTATGATATACTAGCGGCCGCCCGCGACTTCGTACGCGTGTAGTTAGTTAGAAATAAAGGTTCACTGCTCGTTCCCCGTAGGTGATATCGTGATAATATGTAGCCTATATGTTGACCCGACTTCTTAATAATATACGTGCCAAATTTGAAGTAAATCCATGCAGTACTTTTTGAGTTTATCCCGGACATACATACAGACAAACAGATGAAAATTCTAAAAACTATATTTTTGGCTTCGGTATCGGTTGTAGATCACACCCCAAGTATTCTTTTAAAAAATATTCAATGTAGAGTTTTGACTTTACTACCATTTTATTATATGTATAGATTTCATCATCATCATCAGCCTATAAATGTCCCCACTGTAGGGGCACAGGCCTTCCCTATGGATGTAATAGGAAGATCGGGCCCAGTGCGGATTAGTGGGTGCTAACGTGAACCAAGAAGTGCTTGAGTGGTGTTCAAGCACTTCTTGATTGGCACAGATTTTGAGCGCACGTGTTGCATCTAGGTTATTTAATATCGTTGATTAGTAACTAAAGTAAAAAAAAAGTGAGCCGTCACGTCGCCGTAGATGTGAAACACTAGCCGGTTAACGGTAAATACAGTCGGAGAATTGCTCGGGATGTGTGCGGTAAAAAATGACATAGGTCCTGCCTCGAAGGGCGCTGACGCCTCACTGATCGGCGAGTAGTTGAGCAATGGTATATATCTATTGCACTTTTACGGGCGAGCGTCGCCACGCCAGAAATCGGTATGCCAGAAATGTTTCACATCAAAACTTTGAATTTTGATCAGAAGTAATATATATATATATATAATTTTTATTTTTTAAGCATGTAACTGCTTGATGTTGAAATCTAAAGAAAATATTAACTAGAAAAAAATCAATTTAAGATCTCACATTTTTAAATAACAGCATTTGTTATAGGTATCCAATAAAGCAAAGAAATAGAGTTTAATACCTGTTCATAATATTATATTGTTCCTATAAATACATATTTTTATTTTGCATAGAACTTAGAACTCATTTAGCTCTCCATTCTTTTTGCAGCGAAGCCCACAGCCAAGCATATTTTTTTCATTGAACTTTGCTCTCATTTTTTTTTACATTTATGTTTTTGGTGGACGAGCGCGATGGCGCAGGTGGTTAGCGCGTTCGCCTGAGATCGTTGAAGTTTAACAACTTTCGCAGTGGTCGGTCATTGGATGGGTGACCAAAAATTTACTATCTCGAGCTCCTCCGTGCTTCGGAAGGCACGTTAAGCCGTTGGTCCCGGCTGCATCTGCAGTCGTTAGCACCAATCCGCACTGGGCCCGCGTGGTGGGTAATGGCCCGATCTCCCTATTCCATCCATAGGGAAGGCCTGTTCCCCAGCAGAGGGGACATTAATAGGCTGATGATGATGTTTTTGGTGGGATTATGCATTTCATATCGATGATATAAAATATCAACGGATAAAACTTTTAGTTTATCAGTTGATGTTTATAAATGACTAGCGGCCCGCCCTCGCTTCGCTTCGGTGTAGAGCTGAAGTGTAGACTACAGTTTTTGTTTTCAGGCTTGTATTATTATACACAATGACAATCATCTATGACTCTTCTTATAACTGCATGCAAAGTCTCAGCCCGATCGGTTTAAAATAGGGAAGATGCAATATTTTTATTTTTGTTTTCATTTTGAAGAATTCCATGTAGAATAAACCACAGATATATTAAAAAATTAAAACATTGTGATTTATCGGAAAAAATGCGGTTTTAAATTGACAATTTAAATTTTCGCGCGAAAACGAACCTATGATTGCGATGACGTCACTCCTGTCTGTCACTGGTCGTACTTGTTCGTCGCTGGCTTTAAATTTCCATACTTTTGCATATTTTTTCGACTTTCGACATATTTTTTATAACAATACCACTAATATTCCGAAAAAAAGTCGTGTTGACTCGTTGACGTGATGTTTTGTGCCAATCTACTTCAACAAAGTTTCCAAATAAATTGTTTTTGACTGGAACTTCTGACCCAAAACTGAAAAAAAAGTGGTTTCAAGCTGCGAAGAGAAATAACAATTATTCTCCAAAGACCATTATTCGATGCTGTGAAAATCACTTTGACGTAAGTCGGCGAATATACTTGTTATATGGTTAATTAATCTGCTTGTACGTAAAAACGCATTAGTAACCTACCTAATACAAAACCTGTCTATAACATATTTTTAATTTTACAGTTGGAGAATGACGTCGAAAATTAGATAAACTTTAAAATATGTTGCACAATCTTCACATTGGCAGGACTGAACCAAGCTTTGCGTTTCATTTAAAATAACTGTAACACGATAACCTTCTTTACGTACTTTATGCTCTGGGGAACTCGACCTTTTACTGTACATAATTCTCCATCTCTTTTAATTTGGACATAGCCGATTGCATTATCGCCGTAAGATTTGTAGAAGCCGCTGAATAAAATACGAAGTTTAACAACTACGATTTTTACAGACCGTAGTAATTTAGTCCCTTTCATTTCTACACTTAAAAACTCTGCACTTTGGACAAAAAAAGTTATAACCATGTTAACACTAACTCTTGGTAAATTCCTGGAGTCTGCTTTGATAAACGCAACTTCCATTTTTATTTAATATAAAAAACGCAATTAATATTCCCATAAAATAATATTTACTTTAACAACCATAACCTCAAAGAAGTTGTCATAACAGGAGTGACGTCACTAAACGCTGATTGGTGTTTTAAAATACGTTCTGTTTCAAGTATTTTTAATTCGTAATAATTGTTAAAAAACAACATTATGTAAAATAATAACGCTGCAGTGACATTTCTTTTATATTTCTTTAACATTTTAATCATAAAATTTTCATAAATATTATATATGCATCTTCCCTATTGACAAAGTTTCATACAAACTTTCATTCCCTATTTTATCCCCTGAGGGTTAGAATTGATCAAAATCTTTTCTGCGCGGATGCCTACGTCATAACATCTACCTGCATGCCAAATTTTAGCCCGATCCGTCCAGTGGTTTGGGCTGTGCGTTGATAGATGTTAGTCAGTCCCGACCTTTGAGTTTTATATAAATAAGATAATGTTCCTTGGACTTTATCGATATGTATATTGGGTTTCAGTTCGATTGACATTCTGTGTTTATCGTTGCATACAGACGGCGCGGCAGATACGCGGGCGGGGCGACCGGGGGGGCCGGCGTGGGGGGCCCCGGGGGGGTGAGCAGCGGGCCGGGCGCCGGGCCCGGGGCCAACGCGGGGGGCTGGCACCATCACCACGCGCCGCTACTGCTGGACATCAACCAGGTAACTTATTGAAGTGTACACTTCTTTAGGGGCCGTTCAAGTATTACGTAAGCAGATTTATTACAATTATTGAAGTGAAACTTCTTTATCGGCGTTGGAAAAAAATTTACCGTCACATTTTTATTCGGTTACGCGTCACGTTTTTTGGTTACGCGCCATCTCTTTTTTAAAAGAGCACTATTTACCTCATCCGAACAATTGCTTCTTCTGTCAACTTTAAAAAAAAAGTATCGACAGCAAATATTCGTGTTTCACACAAGGTAAGGTAAGATAAGGTAAGATAAGGTAAGGTAAGGTAAGGTAAGGTAAGGTAAGGTAAGGTAAGGTAAGGTAAGGTGTAGTTATACCCCTTTAGTGGGTGAGTTTTTGAAAAATCTTAGCGCACGCCTATATATATATATTTCTGGAAAGTTGCATGTAGATCATTTTTCGAAAAAAATAAGGCCATAAAGAAGTTTCACTTCTTACGTGTGTACACTAGTACACGCACACATTTTTTTTATTTATTTATTCAGTTTCACATTCTGGTTTACAGAGCTAGTCCAACACACCAACAAGTCAATGCAATGCAAAACAAAAACATTCATTATATAGAAATAGTCATAAGTGGAATCACAATTAAAAGTCAAAATTAAAAATAAACATACATCAAAGTCAACAAAGTTACAGAATCAAAAATGTCAATAAGATACAATTAAAAAAAAACGTGAAAACAGTAAATAAATTACAAATTAAAATAAACTAGAAAATACACAAAACCGGCCAAAAACATTATTTTGAATGTCAAATGTCAAAATACAGATTAAACCCCTCCTCCCCCTCGTCAGCAAAAGTAAGCTAAGCACGTAAACATATCCATTTTTCCTTTAATGTATTCTGTTTTTTTATTGATTCATGAGCAGCAGTATTTAAAATGGCTTAATCGATGATGCTGACGTAATCACCATCTCTACCCCCCCCCCCCCCCCCCCCCATGTCGTCAAAAATAAGCAAAGCTCCCCCATGTCGTCAAAGACTCGCCTGGCCCGCTATAGTGCTTACGTAATGCTTGAACAGCCCCTTAGCAGCGTTGTACACTTTTTTTTTGTTCTTTGTATGGGTAAGAAATGTTAAACTCGCGTCAGGTTAAACACGTGGGCTGATCGCATCATGACACCCAATAAAATTGGAAAGTTGTTGACTTTCAATATATTGGACGAAACATAGTAATATTTTATTTTATCGTATTGTAATAATGAGTTTCTATCTAGGACGTCGACGTGGCAGCTTTATTGCGAAGAAAATGCATTTTTTTACAATAGATGTCGCTAGGTGCGCTTAAACGTGATTCATGTAAATTGTTTTCTTTATAATAAATGTCGCTAAGTGCGCTTAAACGTGATTCATGTAAGTTGACTTTTCTGAGAGGTAAACTTTTTTAATGTAGTATAAATTGTCATGTTTGTGTACGATAGCGTGATAAATAAATATTTTATTCTACCACATACATGAAAGTACTTTTATACTGATAATTAAAACGATTCGTGCAAAATTACTCCCTAACCATTTCAAAATATCAAAAATGCACAACGTTAATATTCTAGTTTAAGCGTGAAGATAATTTAGTGTATGCAACTGCATATAATTTACCTCTTTGACAGCCACATAAAGTTGGATCTAAAAATATTGAATTTTTGCGGGGTGTCGTTGAAAACATGATATATGTGCAAATTGTGATGCTTATGCTACGTGACGTACGATACTTTTTAACTCGGATTTTTTTTTAGGTTACTTACTATGGGATTGTCTAAAATCTAAACCGTCTGGTTGTTAGTCAATAGACTTTTGTTTCGTCTTCTCAACAAATGTCCCTCCGCGGCACCCGCCTCTCCGCGCTAGGAGGCGGAGTATGAACATACCAGCACACGTAATGTTCTTAGTGACGCTCATATTACGGGGACTGGTTTGTGACGTAGGCAGACCCCTCTTTCCCAGTGGGCACTTTGGGCAAGTGCTCAGGGCCCCGCGATCGATAGGGGACGACCTAGTTCCTGTTAGATCACCAAACGGGGGTCATAGGTGCCCCATTATCCGAATATGCCCAGGGCCTCCAATAGGTCAAAGACGGCATTAGACGTAGGACACCTTTTATCCCATAAAAGTCTTGGGTAACTATGGAATTGTCTAAAAACTAAACCGGTCCGGTCGTTAGTAATATTAGGTTGACGGTGTCTTACTTAAAGAGCTCGATGGCGCGGGTGGTTAGCGCTGTCGGCTGCGATCTTGGAAGTTCAGCAACTTTCGCAGTGGTCGGTCATTGGATGGGTGACCAAAACTCTTCTATCTCGAGTTCCTCTGTGCTTCGGAAGCCGTTGGTTCCGGCTGCATCTGCAGTCGTTAGCATCCGTCAATCCGCACTGGGCTGCGTGGTGGGCCATGGCCCAATCTTGCTATCCCATCCATAGGGCAGGCCTGTGCCCCAGCAGTGGGGACATGAACATAATAATAACATTTATTCACCATCTCAGAATACAAACAGTTGTTAAACAGATGTTACAATATTAACACCAAGTTTATAGTAAGGTATCCGATAATCGCATCATCATATCCGACAGGCGCAAGTGGTTAGCGCGTTCCGCAGCGATCGTTGAATTTAAGCAACTTTCGCAGTGGTCGGTCATTGGATGGGTGACCGAAAATTTACTATCTCGAGCTCCGCCGTGCTTCGGAAGGTACGTTAAGCCGTTGGTCCCGGCTGCATCTGCAGTCGTTAGCACCCACCAACCCGCACTGGGCCCGCGTGGTGGGTCATGGCCCAATCTCCCTATTCCATTCCATTCCATAGGGGAGCCTGTGCCCCAGCAGTGGGGACATTAATAGGCTGATGATGATGATGATCCGATAACAACATCAAAGATTGACAGCTACCCTCCCCTTTAGTAACAAAACTGTATTGCGGCAGTGTAGGAACATCGTCTAGTAAACAAAACAGGGTAGATTCACATCATTATTCAACTTACGACAGGTCGATTAATAGGCTTATGATGATGATGAGGTGGAGACCGCGTCTAGGCAAACGTAGTGTAGGACATCCTCAGGCATGATGGAGTCACACTCCGTAGCACGATCATCACAATTTACGTACGACGTATTCGGGTGCACGAAAGACATTACTCCAATTCGGGCACCCGCAGCAATATTTTTTCGTTTACCCGAATTCCATTAGCACTCGTATTCGGGCTAACAACCTAGTGTTAAGTCCTCTACGCACTATCCATCTTGCTGGATCCAGCATGCGGGACAGCGCTATACGCGTAAAAGAAATCCTGTATCTCCATCTCTTTTACGTGTATAGCGCTGTCCCGCATGCTGGATCCAGTAAGATGGATAGTGCATAGAGGACTTTAGTCGCTTAGGAAAGGGCTATGCTCGGCGTTTCTCTGAAAGATCGCATCAGAAATGAGGAAATCCGACAGAGAACCAGAGTTATCGACATAGCCCACCGGATTAGCAAGTTGAAGTGGTAGTGGGCTGGCCATATTTGCCGAAGAACCGATAACCATTGGGGTAGACGAGTTCTGGAGTGGAGACCGCGTCTAGGCAAACGTAGTGTAGGACGTCCTCAGGCGCGATGGAGTGACGATTTGCGCAAGGTGGCTGGCAGGAGCTGGATGCGAGTAGCCCAAGATCGATCTGAGTGGCGTGCATTTGGAGAGGCCTATGTCCAGCACCACTGCTGATCATCATCATCACATTTTTGTATACACGCCTGACATATTATTATTATTTTTCTTTTATTTGATTAACTGCGTTTATGCTTATAAGTTTGACTGGAAACGTTTCCCTGGTCTTCAATTAAATTCAATCAAGGGGCATAGATCAAATTTATATTAAAAAAAAAAAGAATTCGAGACATGTTAAAAAAAACTTAATAATTAATAAATGAATATCTGATGGATAAGGACTTAATTGAGTAATATATAAATATGATTACGATGAATGACATTTAATATTGTGATAACTTTTGAATTTAATTTTATTGTAATTGTTATTTTTTTATGTAGTATAATAATGAATATCTGATGGATAAGGACTTAAATAAATGATAAGATGTTTAATTAAGATTACTGACAATTATTATTATGATGACATTTTATTTTGAATTGTAATTTAATTTTAATTGTTTTTTTCATGCAGTATAATTTAAAGTACCGTTATTAATTCTATATTTGTATGCCTGATGGCTGGTCGTAGTTGGACTGTATATTTAAGCATAATAACCATGTATTACCAATGTACAACAAATAAATAAAATGAAAATGAAAATCATCAACAACAACAGGCTGTTGATGATGATGATTATGATTTTATTTATTTTTTAAGCATTTAACTGCTAGATGTTTAAATCTAAAGAAAAGTTTACTAGAAAAAAATCCACGCGGACCAGGCAGCGGACGGGACTCGAACCAGCATCCTTCGCTATCCGGGCCAATTCATTGACCATTATGCTACCACGGCACTATTAGCCGCGTCGAAATTGCCGTGGTAGCATAATGGTCAGTGCATTCGCCCGGATAGCGAAGGATGCGAGTTCGAGTCCCGTCCGCTGCCTGGTCCGCGTGGATTTTTTTCTAGTAAACTTTTCTTAAGATGATGATGATGTTTATTGTCTCGTCTCCACAGCAAATGTCCCTTCGCGGCGCCCGCCTCTCCGCGCTAGGAGGCGGAGTATGGACCCACCATCACGCAGCACACGCGGCGCACGCGGCCCACGCGGCGCACGCGCACGCGCCGCACCACCGGCACGTGGAGCACGCGCATCCCCACCCTCACGCGCACGCGCACCAGCACGCGCATCCGCATCAACACCAGCACGCGCACACGCCGAGGACGCAGGTATGTTGACTAAGCGACGATGATGAAGTCGTCCATATACGCGAAGGATGTAGGATTTGATAAATCGTTTTTTTTCATTGCGAAAATTAGCTAGGAATTTTGTGTTCAAACGCGGATGAGGTGACGATGATGTCGTCCATATAGACGAGGGATATAGGATTTGATAAATCGGTTGTAAATAACATAATTACTATAATGGTGTCGATTCTAGAATGATTCTCTAAACCTAAACTTAAATTTAGTTTCAAGTTAAGAGAATCATAACAGAACTGATACCATTGGCGATGATATTGCTAAAAGTCTGACTGAAACTGTCAATTATTACTTTTTGTCATAAACTAACGATTCTTTTGGCAATCTTAGAATAGAATTTTCGCGAAAATTCAATTTATCAAATCTTGCGACATACACACTGACGTAGGTGGGAATCCGTTCATATAACGCTAGATATGGTAAAATCACAAATGCTTACAATCTTTGAAATATGTATATAAGAAAAAAACGTTTAGAAGCAAAAAAATAGCATGCAAAATATAAAGTTGTTACTTATGTACGCGCGTGAGAAGTTATACTTCTTTAGCATCATTAAAAATATTTTTTAATTGCATGCAAATAATTAATAATTACAATAAAATAATAAAAGGACTGGAAAAGGATAGTTAACACAGTCAATTAAGTTCAGTTTTAATTTGAAAAATTAAATAAATATTCAAAATATTCAATTAAAATCACTACTGAATTTAAGTTATTAGTCCATATGTAATTAGCACTTGTAAGTAACTAAAACACGTTGTGTCTATATAGAAACTAGAAACATGTGGATAAATATTATAAATATGAAAACAGTGATCAGAGGCGACGAGCGTGCCAACATTGGTTTTGACAACGCGATCATCTTATGGAGCTCCGTGGATCGTTCAAAGTACCTTTCGAACAGATGTCTAATAATGGTGGATTATTAACCACTTAGTGGTTAATAATCCACCATTATTAGACACTAACATTCATAACGCGCCCGCGGCCAACTTCATGCTGTTACTTTTGGGTTACAGTGATGCGCGCGCATCTCGAAATTTCACTCACATGATTTTTTCATAACGCGCCCGCGGCCAACTTCATGCTGTTACTTTTGGGTTACAGTGATGTGCGCGCATCTAAAAATTTCACTCTCATCATTTTTTCATAACGCGCCTAAAGAAGTATAACTTCAATAATTTAATTCCAAACAGCTGCCCGTTTCAGAAGAACAATATTCAAAATAGACTTGACGTTTCAGAAAATAGTCTTTTGAATTATAAAACTATTTATTGATGTCTAAAAACAATCCTTAAATTAATAAAAAGAGAAAAATTATAAAAACTATATTATGTACTATAAAAATATTACTAGCATGCATTCTAGTTTGCAACATTTATATTCATTGATACGCGCCGTAACATAATACAGTGGATCCCCGGTAGTCCGACAAACATTTTGCAGGGCAGTGTCGAACTATCGAATTTGTCGGATTATAGAGTACTGCCTAAGACCTCCTATAGTCCGATTTTTTTTTTACAAAAGAGTACCTTGTAATCCGACAAATTACAGATCCAATGATAAGATTACAAACCATACTTTGTTATGTATGTCAAATTTAGTAAATTAAACAACACAATAGAAAGATTAGGTTTGATTATAATAGTAAAGTCATTAATGCTACAGAATTTACAAAAAAATATAAAAAAAAAACCCTACGCGTCGAGCACAATAGTGATGGTGCGTACAAGTTGTAACTTGTTCAATCGTGAATTAGCGAATACTTGTATGTAATAGACGATGTCGGATTATGGGGGGTGCCGCATTAGCCAGGGGCCGGATTACCGGGGCTCCACTGTATTATCTAATCTAATAAATACAGATGATATATAACTAGAATAAAATTAAAAATATGGAAAAATATGGAGTGAATATGAGAATATTTTTCATATTAAACATTTTTATTTTGAAATATTACTATGCATTAACAGTATGTTCAGGTAATTCAAAGAAAAAAATTAAGATTTATTCGTTTTACAGATATTTTTAACAGTGAGTCCATATTATATTACAGAATGACAACTAAGTGTTGATCTTTACTTGAGTACGGTTAGAAAGGGATATCGCTATGTGCTATATATAGCCTTACCTTTACCTTTTGTGAGGAGAATATAAATTGGTATATATTATTATAGCGACATCCCTGTCTAACTATGCTCAACACTAGATCAATCACTGAGAATCTTTCTATAATACGGGCCTTAGTCATCTAAAATTACAATCATATTATTAGAATTAATTAATATATTAAATCAAAGTACCAAGAAGAGAAGGTTTATTTTCATTTGTTCCTTAATGTTGAAGAATTCGTTTCTTTGTTCAATGATTGTAAATAGCGCTTGATATGAACGCATTTCCAACGTCAGTGTCATTTTACCGTGTGTTAATAAACAACTGAATTTTATTACAGCATTTAGATTACGAAAATGTACATGGGATTTTTGATTACCATACTATTGATTTGAATACTATGCTACGTTATACATTGCCTGTTACTATGTTAATACCTATTCGTCGAAATTATATAGATGATCGAAATAAAACCGTGCATGCAGGCAGTGTTTAACTGAATTTCTGAACACAAACACGTTTGAAGGGAAACACATTAAGAATACAATTTTAAACTGTAGGCACACAGCATTTTTCCGATCACACACATTCTATGTCATCAAACAATACACGAGACAGGACACAACAAATCAAATGTTAGTTACGTATTTAATTTAAATTGTCTTGCCATCATTTTATTATTCAAAAACAATTAGAAAACTTATAGGAAATTCGTACATTATCCTGATGGAATTTTTACCACAACCCAATACGTGAAACATCTTTCTTTAAGAGTAGTATATTTCTTATCGGCATATTGATAATTGGTTAAATTTTCATTATTTTTTTCATTATTCTTAAATGAGGAGGGATTTTAAACGATTGTTACCAATCTGGGCATAGCATATTATAATTTACTGGAACTCTGTGTAAGTGTAAGCCGCGAGGCAGTGTTGTCTAGTTTTAAGTTAATTAAGTTAGTTTTAAGTCGTTTCCACTGGCGATGTCCCACGCACCAGCTCTGCATTCGTTCACCCTTAATGTCCGTTATATTGAAGTTTTAGAGATTACTTTAGATTTTCAAATACATTGGGTGTATAAAAAATCTTCGTATCAAATGAGGAAAAATACTGTTGTAGTTGTCAAATAAGAGATTTTCTCAAAAAAATTGGATAAGTTTTAATGTTGTTAAATGCCACATTTACGCAAGACACGTTTTTGGTTGTAAAATTGCTACTGCGTTCTCTATAGTCAATGCTCGAGAAGTTTGCCGGGGAGAAAACTTCATCTCACAAACAAACGTAATTTCTAAACATTAAGATCACTTCGACAGCCCCTTCAGTGTAAAGAATTCTTGATTTCTTGATGACGATCCTGTCTCACTAAAGTTTACTTCCCTTAGTTGAGTTTGGTAAGCATGTCATTACACCAAGTGATGCAGTTTCTTTTGAGTCTCAGTGAATTTGCGAGGGATCCATCGAGAATGATGATGATAATAATAATGAAAATAAATATTATTTATGGCACACAAAAAAGGGCAAAAGACATGAACAAATAAAACAGAAGAAAGAGTACACAACAGGCGATGTTATTGCTAAACAGCAATCTCTTCCAGGCAACCTATGGTGGAAAGGGAATAAAATATAGATAAATATAGAAGGGTGCACATGTAAATACAATAGAAATACTTACATAAATATTTAAGAGAAGCAAAGAAATGGGATGCTAAATGAATTTAAGACACGGGATGGAAATAGCGTTAAACATGGTTTTTTCACATCTATATGTTTTTGAATAATTCATTTATTGTTGCCTTTAACTAAAAATATTAACGACATAGATACTATACGCAATATTTTAAAATCACCCTAAAATGTAAATTCTAATAAATGAGGCAAATTGAATTTTAAAGCCAAAGAGATACGTTATTCAAATATAAGAGTTATTATTTATGAAGTCATTTGCAGAAATTTTTAGTGCTCCCTTTGTATTTTGAGTCTTCAGTAATGAGAAATGGTTATACAGTGCGTGGTTTCTCACTAAAGTATCAAATCGGTATTTTGATTTTACGAGCGCCCACTTAATACGCGTTTAAACCGGCATTTTTCCGAAACGCTAGCAACCACCATATATAAATTACGTGTCACGTTGTTTGTCCTTGATAGACTCCAATAATACTTAACCAATTTTAATCAAATTTGCACACCGTGTGCAGTTTGATCCAACTTGAAAGATAGGATAACTTACATCTCCATTTATAGTCGCAATATTATTTTATTGCAAATTATTACTTTTGGGCGGTAATAACTATATGTGATGGTATTTAGAAATTCATGCCATAATACCTTATAAAATATTATTTCTTCTTATAAGACCTGACTTCTCCTTTCGAAGACGTATACAAAGGAACGCTTTGCGATGGCCACTGTCTTAAAATAGCTTCAATTATGACATGATAAAAACAAATTTCTTTATCGCACTATCTGTAAATGGAATGCTTTGCCCTAACACTTATTCCCTTTTCTCTAAAACTCAGGGTTATTACCAATTCCTTAAACTTATTAGGAGCAACTTACTTAAGTATGTATCTGTAACTTTCAAAGATTCCTTTGTGTCATTAAAAGCTATTTTCACTCAAGATTTTTTTAGTAAAAACGATTTCATATAGTAGCACGGGTTTGGAGTATTTTGCTCGGACGGTTATTTTCATAGATAATATTCTTCAATGTCATTTTTCCAGACCCTAATATATAACTTTTTACTTAAAAATGTTTCCAATTTAGTGGGAATGTAGTAGGCTTGACGAAGACAACGATAAGAGTGGACGCTGGTTCTACCAAATAAAAACCTAAATCCGGGAGATGTTTTCACAGAGTCCATTTTAAAATTTCTTCGTTAAAAAATGATTCCATATCTTTGGGAATGTAGTAGGCTTCACGTAAACAACAATTAAAGTTGTCGCTGGTTTCCACCAAACACCGATGGTTCCTAAATCTGGGGGACGAGGTTTTCATATCAGTGGGAATATAGTTTGCATTTACTTAAACAAAGATAAGAGTTGGTTTCTACCAAATACCGATGGGTCACGGGTCTTGATTACTTTATTTCTTAAAAGGTCCTTTTGAAAGAGTCAATTATATTAGTTCCTAATTAAAAATGTTTCCAAATCAGTGGAAATGTATTAGGCTTGACAAATACAACGATAAGAGTGGGCGCTGGTTTCTACCAAATACTGATGGGTCTTTATATCAATGGGAATTTAATAGAATTCACAGAAACAAAAATAAGAGTGGGCGCTGGTTTCTACCAAATACCGATGGGTCTTTATATCAATGGGAATTTAATAGAATTCACGTAAACAAAAATAAGAGTGGGCGCTGGTTTCTACCAAATACCGATGGGTCTTTATATCAATGGGAATTTAATAGAATTCACGTAAACAAAAATAAGAGTGGGCGCTGGTTTCTACCAAATACCGATGGGTCTTTATATCAATGGGAATTTAATAGAATTCACGTAAACAAAAATAAGAGTGGGCGCTGGTTTCTACCAAATACCGATAGGTCTTTATATCAGTGAGGATTTGAAAGGATTAACTTAAACAAAGATAAGAGTGGGCGTTAGTTTCCACCAAATACCGATGTGTCTCGGGGGGGACGAGTGCGGATATGTTTGCGTGGCACGTCAGCTGGCACGGGGCGGGTGGTTGGCGGCAGGTGGCGGGCGCGGAGCTGTGGGGCGCGGCCGTGCTACCGCCGCTGCAGCTGCGCTACCAGGTACCCACGCCGCCCGCCTATATGGATGACATGTTCGCCGTTGCACTCGCTATCATATGACACTATAGTTGGGATGTGATTGGAAATGTTTAAAGTGCGGTGTTCTTGTCTCTTGTTTATTTATTTATTTAAACTTTATTGCCACAATTACAAAATGGACAAAAGGCGGACTTAACGCTAAAAGCATTCTCTGCCAGTCAACCTTTAGGAGTACAGAAAGACACGAATGTTCTCGTTGTGTTGCACTGGAAATAAAATAATTTCTGCTTCAGAATGTTGAAGCATTAAGAAATAGATTATTTTTATAGTTATTAGCGAGATAATGTTACTGAAAATGAAAGTATAAAACAATATATGGTTCACTTTATTGCACGAGCTGAATATTTGATTTGATCATTAATGAATTGACAGGATTGGTTAGTTTTGAAGTGAAGACGTTGCACCAGATGTTCTACCAATAAGACATGCGGCGTCAATTTCATAAAAGTTTGTCTTTTTCATAACCCGGCAGGGGTTAGGTTAACAGAATTTGTTGAAAAGTTTGTAAATCCAAATATAACTTGTTTTAATTAATAGATATGAAAAACAGTTTCTTTTGACATTTCAAATTTCTTGACGTTTCCTTTATCCTGTATATAGGCTTCGAGATTACTGCCCTTAACATGTATAATTATTTCGGACTAGCCCGTAACGTTAAAATATTTATTTATTAATTATTACGTGTTTATTATTCTCATAAAACTTTCGTGAGATAATCATATACATAACAAAATAAAAATTTACTTCGTCTGTACCAGTATATTTTTTTGATCAGACTTGAAACAAGGCTCTATGACTTGCTTTGCTTGATTTTTGCAAATGAACAAAACTTCATAGATTTCCTGTTAGGCCCGAAGACAACAAAATGTTTGTATGTATTTTTGCTTTAAAAATAGTTTTTGTGAAGTGTTAATTATGAGAAATAATCAGAAAGATTCTAAAAAAATGTAAAGTTGTTGGCTCTGTAAATAATAGGCAACATATTTTGTCAAATATAGAAAATAATGACGTAGTAGGAGTTTTCAAAGATTTCAGGATTGTAACATTATCAAAAGTTCCTGAGCCTTTTCTCGTATAAATTACAAATATTCAGCTATTTAACATTAAGTACAATATTTATGCATTGCTAGGGCAGTCGCTCATACAAAATTTTACCATGTCCTCTCAGAGAGTAATTTAATTAATTTCAATATTATTAAAATTAAAATCTGAAATCTAAAACTGTTAAGTTTTAAGTCCCGGTAAGGAGTTCAAAGTAACGGAATGTTATCAGAAATATAGTAAATAAATATGTCAAATAGAAGTAAAAAGTCACTATGTTTTTGCAAAAAGCGCTTTTATAAGTCCCAGTATAACTTTATTTCTACCTCTGCTTCGGGACAATAAATAAACTGAGAGGCGAGATCATGGCAATTTGAACTCTACCCTTGTGGTGTGAGTGGAGTGCTCCGGTTGCGTTCCCTCAAGGGTGCCGTTCTCTGTGATGCGTGGAGTTTGGCTTGCGACGTATGGCCTGCCTCATACAATACCATACATAGTACCTACCTGGCCCCTAGTCCACTGTCTGTCTACTACCACGCGTCAACAATGCTTCCGACCAATCAGATCCAATGATACATAGACACGAGCGGACCAATCATTCGACGCGTAAAACTATTCGATTTGTTTTTGTTTATCGATTGTCGGCACATGTAAGGGAAAACATCGTGATTCGTTTCATGACGGTTTTAAGTTGCAATGATGCTCGAATTTTAAGATATCTGACTTTTCCCCGTTTCTCACTCTTACCATTTCAAAATTTAAATTTTTTTAAACGAAATACAACATTTTCCTTATATTAAGTTTTCAGCACAAATAATTTTGTGAATTCCCTTAGTACTTTAATAACAGTACAGGAGTACGTGACAATTTGTCATTGCAACTGCCAAAATTGTGATTGAATTCATAAGTAAAGTCATAATTTAACAAATCCTGGTAAAATAATCATTAAAAGAGGGAAGATTATTCAAATTTCAAAGATTATTTATCACTAATGGTATGATAAATATGGTTTTAGCAGTAAAATACACAGTGGAAAAACCAGTTAAAACCTTGAATAAAACAGGACATTTTCCTGATACTTTGTTTTTTTCCCCGAACAAGTGATTATAACAAGCCAGTATGGCTTACACGTATCCTCCAACAATCACAAAAACATTGGTCTTTTTCACGCTATCCTGTGTTCGAGTGATCTAGAGGCTCCAGACGGAGAAGAGATTCCCCTCGTGAGGAGATGCCATCCGCCTGGAATACCTCTAGAGGCACTCGCCAATTCTCGGCTTGAGATCTCCTTAGTATCTCGCTGTCCCCAAACCCGGTGATGCTGTAAACGCCATCTGCGACCAACAGCATACACACTCAAAAAAAAAAACGACGGGTTGCACTCCGGGAGTGCCAGCAGAAGTGAAAACTTGAATATTAACGTTGTGCATTTTTGATATTTTGGAATGGTTAGGGAATAATTATCAGTATAATAGTACTATCATGTATGTGGTAGAATACAATATTTCTTTATTGCGCTATCGTACACAAACATGACAATTTATATTACATTAAAAAGTTTATCTCTCAGAATTTCTCATTTAAGCGCACCTAACGACGTCTATTGTAAAAAAATGCATTTTCTTCGCAATAAAGCTGCCACGTGGCCGTCCTAGATAGAGACTTAGTCAATAAATTGAAAGTCAACAACCTTTCCAATTTTATGTGTGTCATGATGCGATCAGCCCACGTGTTAAACCTGACGCGAGTTTAACATTTTTAACCCATACAAAAAAAGTGTACAACGCCGCTAAAGAAGTTTTCACTTCAAAAAAACTATCCTGTAAAGTTACTGAAATTGAGTTACGATGTTTTTTACTAAAAGGTGTAATTTGCCGTGTTTCTGCGAATCGTTTGTCCTTCATGTTGAGCATTACAGTGTATCTAATTAACCTTTACTAACTCCAATTCGTGGAACGTTGCGCAGGAGTCATTGTTGACGTGCCTACTGTTATGTGGTTTGGTCTTAGTAATTAAAGCTTCCGGTCTGGTGCGTTTAATCGCTTAGTACACTATCTCCCGTGGTTGTCCGTTCCGAAGGTGCGATTGTTAAATGCTAAATAATACCGCTGTTTTCTTAGTGTTTACGAATTTGTATACTTAAATCTACTGGTGCGAAGTCGGCTGTAATGTTTTTTAACTTTCACAGTACCTACTCTTTTTTGAAGAAAAAATTATAAGTATATTCATATTTGAAAGCTTTTTTTGCGTTAAAGAAACACACTGAAACTGAGTCGCGATGTCAATTTAATGTACTGATGAATAGTTTATCAGCATTGCACTGACCCCAATTGAATTGATCTCTGACGAGCCTTGAATGTTGTAGCACTTCACACTATAAAGAAATTATAATCAACACACGTTATCATACTTCCTAATAGCCTTTTCTTTCTCAATTATCATTTGGAGCAGTTGTTTTCTTTGACTGGACAGTTTTTATAGCTATTATAGTTTCCGCTTCTGAAGGGTCGAGTTTGAATATGTTTTTTTGGCGGTTAAAAGGGCTATTACTCTTGGGACCAATATGTCTCTCTGATGGATCCACGGGTATTTTTTTGTCCACTGTCCCACCGTTCTAAACCGTTTGCGCCAGTGGGTCTTTGGGTATTTTTTTAGCCACTGCACTAAGGTGCATCCGCCAAGTATACATTTATTTTTTCGGTTCTTCTTCTAAGTGGTAGAGGCGTCTCATTTTCTGTCGTTCATCATGTAAATAGCTTTTTAGTTTTACACTGTTGTACAATTGTTGAATTCATTAGGAAAATCAATTAATAAAATAATTGTAAATGCTGATTACATTACAGATATCCAAATTTTAGTTGGTGTGACACTGGAAATATTAATATAATTGCTTTTTCAATTTTGATTAAAGAATATAATGGTTTTGTCATCTAAGTTTGTACTTAAACTTGATCTCAAAAGGAATCAATTTCTCAAGAAAATATCTAAGGTCAAAAAATAGATATAGTTTTAAATGGATGTTTACCACTTAGTGCGGTGGGAATAGGGTAAATTTAAATTACCCCTACTGGCGAACACTGTTAAGCACGGTGGGACAGTCTGTAATACCCGTGGACCCACCAGGGTCGACATGTTCGTGGGAGGTGTAAATAAAATTGGCCTTTCAGAAGCTTATATCTTTCGATCACCATGATTAGCCTGCGAGAGTGACTTTAAGACGGCTGCCTTCACCCGCGCTTGAATTGTCCTCTCATATAGTTCGGTGATCAGTGTTCCGGTAGCTGGGTGCCACACGTCATACTATATGTTAACTTAAGCACATACATATACATATATATATGCATGCCCAGATTAAACTTTTGTGAATTACAACGGTTGAGGTCGACGAGGTTAAATTTAACTTTGTGATATATATGTGGCTTGTATTATGTAAGCTTGCGGGCCGCCGTAGATGTAATGTAACGTAACATTAGATGGTACCGTATACGCTCGTTTTTCTTGGAAAGTTTACTCTTAAAATAATGTTTGTTACGGACGCTGTTTGATCTATCGCCGGTGCTGAATTGAAGCGTCGCCTTTTATCAGCGTTTCATAAGGATTTCTTAAAGTTATTAAATCGCTACAAAGTTTTTGGTTCATCTTTAGCATGTCCCAAAACATTTTTGTTAAAAAAAAACAGACTTTATCAACAACCATCTTTGGTTCAGTGGTAGAAAGCTTGCGTACTGCGTGGGCTGTTTGGGTTCGACTCTCAGCCGAGTAAATACTTTTTTATCAATGATTTTGCAGGTGTTTTTTTGTTTAATTGACTGTTTTATTTCAAATTGCTTATCGATCACTTTCTTTAGTATTAAAACTGATTTCGTATTTTTTTAAATTTGGATAAGGTCAGTATTTCATTTGCAATGTTCTCTTCTCCCGTCAAATCTTTGCTTGCTTCTATTTGTTTGCTTTTATCTGATTTTACTTCAACATGCGTATGTATTGACATCCGGTTGTATCGAACAGCGTCCGATCCGCCATCGAGGCGGTCTCACTAATACTGTCAAACACCGCCTCGTCTACAGCTGTGGCCGTTCTCGCGTCTTTATCACGATCTCGGCACTCTCTACTATGTTCACCCGGTATCGCTGCATATAGCCTCTACAGTTTTCCAAATACTTTTCGGATTTCAAATGCTTTCTTATTATAATGAGGGTGTTTAGGAAAATTTGCGACGCCAGTTGGCGCCACTGTGACATGAGGTCTTTTGTATGAAACTTTTGGCGCGAATTAGCCAACGAGCGTTTAAATTTATCCGTAGACTATGTGACGTCATACAGCTCGTACTCAGTGCTGCCACCTGGCGCCGGTCATTCCAGAAAACCCCCATTGATTTTGTTTCCGATGACTCGTATGATCTTAGAACACACAGCTATTTGATTATGGTTCCGTCATTGTTTGTCTTGTGTCACACTAGCGCTATACGAGTCTCTGAGATCAATCTCGTTTCCCTCGCTTGTAATAAATGTTAGCCGATCTAGTTTTTAATAAGATTAAACGTTAAATAATATAAAATGGTACTGTAATAATAGATTAAGCTTGGTAAATAATCCTGTTTAACGTATTCTCTCACAATATCCACTGTTTGATCTGCATTTCCGAATTATGCATGTTTTTTTAAGAAACGATCTGTGTTTATTTATAGAGCTAGATGTCGCTGTATCAACATTAACATGACCGAGGGCTGTAGTTACAGAGACGCGAGATTACACGTTCAGTTTAATGAGAGCCCTAAATGCTTGCACATTGTTACCTAACGATGGTTCATACTATATTTGTACATAACACTGGTCTCACAGCGTAGACGCATTGCGGGTGATAGCCTCTTGTTACTCAGTCACGTCCGCTGCTGAGCACTGACTTGTTAGACCGGCTTGGTCCTGTGGTAGCTGCCGGCCGCGGTTCAAGCGAATCTAGACCTTGTCTCTATGACGCTTGGATTGCGGCCGGCGTGCGGCGAGGCTGCTAGACACTTTGGCTAGCGTGGTGGCGGTAGGCTGCATAGATGATGTGTGCATCACGTTAAACTACTGCGGGATTAACGAATAATGTTCTGCTAATAACAATACTTTGGTGATAACTAAACGTTTTAAGGTCTCAACGCACTTACACGACTCTGCTGCAACATCGCACTAAACTAAGGCGAATGCTCGCAGTTCTAGCAGTCAGACCGTTCGCTTGCAAAAGCGTCGTAAGCTGTAAGCTCGCTGACAGCGAGCTAATCTATGTTGTCAATGTAAAGTACATCTAAAGAGCAATAGTTAAAGCCCATATTTGAATTAAAAGAATTGCCGGATGTGAGTGGAGTCGTGTAAGTGGGCTGAGACCTTATACCAATTCGGTGCCTCGGTTGCGAATAACATTATTTCTTAATCTTGCTCAATTGTAAACATTTTATGTAATACAATAGACTCAGTCTGCACAGTGCTTGATGACATTAGGAAATACATTACGTGTGTGTAACCGCGCCAGTGAAAGTACTACCGGTGGACTGATCGAAGGCTTGCGCGGCTGCACCAACCTATGTACCATTCAGTTGATGTTGAATTCATCTCACATTTCTAAACAGAATCTTTTATTTATTACATTTATTATTTTCGAGTAAAAGTTACTATTAACTACACTACTTTACGATATGCGTCGTAGATGTGACGCCATGTTGATTGTTGCGTGTACGCAACGCAACGCGTCGACTCTCGACGTGGCATGCGACACTTGAGCCTTTATTGACGTCTGGTTGTGTACATACGCGATGACGTCATCGTCACAGTTTCCCTCCTGGCAGGGCCACGTGAGTAAAGTAGGCGCAGAAGCAAAATGGCATGCAGTGCGCGTGTGTACGGTGAGACAAGGATCTTTGTGAAATCGGAATTAAAGCCGCCATCTTTGTTAAACGTCATATTCATTCGTATTACTCAGAGGGTCACCAAATTTGGAACAGATAGTAGTTTTACTGATTTGAGGGGTAAAAAATAAAACATGATGTAATAAATCAATTTAATAGATACAATAAATTATAAAATTAGTAGAAAACGTAGGCATTTTATTAATGAAAGCTATAAAGCTTTTTAGTAAAATAATACATAAATTAGGGGTAGCATTTCATTGTACGATACTTACTTTTTCATTCACGAATGACCATTTTCAATTATATAGAAAATTTCGAAAAACTAAAATTTATAACAAGACAGGTTCCCTAAAAATTGAGACATTATCCAGTACTTTAAACATTAAGCTTCCAGTAGCGGCCGCCCTGAACTGTCACTGACATTCATAAAGATCTTTGTTGTACTATAAGTGAGCACTACCGCGTAAAGAAGCGTGTCTCCGCGCACGTGCACGGCGCGAGTGCTCATTCACGCGTAATTGTATGAAGCTTTGTATCTACGCCTCGTTTATTCGCGTGGCAATGCCCCGGTCCTGTCAGTGGCGACCCTCCAAATATTTTTTTTTGTTGAACTAACCTTCCCGCCCCCCACATTTGGAGATTTTTATATTATACGTGTACCGCATGCTTCGACTTTCCTCACTTTTCGATACCCTGTGAATGTGTTCCGTGTTTACGTGTATATGTTGGCCGTAGCGAGAGTCGGCTAGTGTAGGGGGCGCTTGTGCGCGTGCGAAAGATCCGAGTGCCATTTTGACACACCGGAAACTGGTGAAAAGCAATACTGAAAATTAATTTGTTAAAGTAAAAAAGTGATGAGTTTATAAATTATAATAATTAACACAGTTTTAGTAATTTATGTTATTACGGGATTGCTATAATGTATCTTATTTATAGCGAGTCCCCGATACTGGTGTCGGTCGCTATAAAAGACTTCGTCACAGGGTAGACCGATATGTCTGCCAATAACATCTACCCGCAATTACTTCAGTGATCATGACGCTTTCAACAGTACCGAAATATCGGAGACTGGACAAGGCACATGGTAGAAATCCCGTAAATATCATTAATTACAAGAATGTTAGTAAAATATTAAGATTAAGACAATATCAGGTATCTGATTCAATGGCTCTCGAACTGAACGCAGCCTTCGCTTCCTCACACTTGTCGACTTTCCCCCGCGGTTGCTACACTGTTTATTTACGACATCTGCCGCTAGCAACTCAACGCTTTGATTACGTACGTAGATTGGTTTCGAAATGATACGAAAATATTTGGCTGGTCGCTTCATACTTAGAACTTGGCTGTTTCCTTAAAATTATGCTCTTTTTAAATGTTACGACGATTAATAACCTACACTAGTGTCGAGTGTGTCGGGTGCGGTGTTAACACGGGCTGCTCTGGCCTCTCTAGCAGTAGTGGAGCACTAGGTTTTTTTTCTCGTTCTATTTGTTCTTTACGCCACCCTCATGTCCACGATTTTGTATCTATTACTATATTGCATAATATATCTTATGCTGGCACTTCTCTTGGCTATTCGTTTTTGCTATTTGTAAACCTGACATCAGTCTGTCCTTTTCATGCCTTATAAAGCTTGATAAGGACAGACTGTTTTCAAGTTTACAAATAACAAATACGAATAACCGAGTGAAGTGTTGGCGTCAGGTGATATCATAACTTTTTAAGTTTTAATGATTGAAAACGTCCCTTTTTATTATACGTATTATATTAATATTGTTTTCCTTTTTGAATCTTATTCTTGGCAATCACTTTCCTATATTAGTTATATTAAGTACGTTTATTATTTTATATACATATAACATTTTTACGAGCATGTTGTACGCGTGTACTCATTTCCATAGAGGCTTGTTAAAGTTTGCGTTCAAATCCTTGATTACTTAATTATATACCACTCGTATGAGTATTGCTTCACCCAGCTTCACCATAGAACGAGATAAGAATCTTTGCTTAAACCCAACTCGAGCTGTTTATGTTTCGGTATATGGCAACGTGTCGTCCTCTGTTCGGTGTCGAATGTGCCACGGACCTCGCTTTTTAACATATTTCTTTCACACTTCGACTGGAAAGTTCTAAAACTACTAACATGCTGGGTATTTGGTTATATAGACGACGTTTTCGTTTGTGGTGTCGACTTTACAATGCATCGCGAGCGAGGTTCGTGCACGCATTTCGCGTCCGAAATTAGGAATGATACGACTCACGAACTGTCGCAACAACTTCGAACATGAACCCGTCTGTCGCTTAGTCCCCAAATAAAATGGAAATGTAATCAATGTATGCATAAAATTATCTGATATGACAAAAGGCAATCCTAGTAATTCTAGTTAAACATTATCTTATAATTTGTAATAAATATGTAGCCCTTGATAGTTTTCTACATATATTTTAAATTTCTATCCCTTGTAATCTGCATAGTTTTAGGTAATTCAAGAGTTTACTTGCACATTTATCTTGCAAACTATAATAATAAGACGTCGTTGGGAAACGATGCAAGTTATCATTAGATGGGGAAGATGGAGGCATTAGAAAATTCAAAGTTTTCTTCAAAAATGAGACAAGACTGTCGGGAGAAGTGGGATGTTATTAATAGATGGGATAGTGGACTACAATCATTTTAGAGTGAGACGGAAAATCTAATATTCAAATCATCAGACAAAGTTTTATCTTACTTTTTGATTGCCGCAAGAAGTTAAGAGTACAATTAGGCTTGGTAAAGACTGAGCGACAGACGGGCCTCTTGGTGCGTGCGTAAGCGCCGGTATTAAGCGCGCTGGTCGCGTGTGTGTGGTGGTAGATGGGCGGCGTGTACGCGGGCGTGGGCGGCGTGTACGGCGGGTACACGCACGCGGCGCACGTGCCGCGCGCGCCATTCGCCTCGCCTCCGCACGCGCATGCGCACTACCTCGCCACCAATCAGGTCAGTTCCTACACTTTGACTATTGTCTTCGTTATTGTGTTATTCGATTCGCAATAGATGTAATACATATTTCTTCGATGCATTTCATGTTAATGTTGCCGAAATAATTAAAGTTGTGCTCTGTCAAAGGACAACACTTGCATTAATTTTGTATTATTCTCAGTAAATTGCGAATATGTAAAATTTCTTTATTATCAATTCTACGATATTGCCCGAAAAGCGGAAGGCGCAGGTTCGAATCCTGTGTGATACCTGGATTTTTCCTAGTAAAATTTGGTATAAACTCGCGTGCCCAGAATGGATTGGCGAGTGCTAGCGATTGCAGATGCAACCGGGACCAACAGCTTAACGTGCCTTCCGAAGCACGGAGGAACTCGGGATGGAAGATTTTTCGTCACCCATCTAATGACCGACTCCTGCGAAAGTTGCTTTACTTCAACGATCGCAGTCGAACGTGCTAACCATCTGCTCCATCGAGCTCCTCCTCGAGATTAGTCTAATGTGTTCTATTTACAGCCGGCCAGATTTATAGAATAGACAATATGATAATAAAATTATTATATTTTACCTACCCAAAAGACACATTTTAGGTTTTTTTACTTTCTTTACTTCAAAAGGTTCTCGTTTTCTATTAAAAAGCTGTTCCCCTGTAATTTTTCAATTTTCAACAGTATCTATTGCATAATGTTTCTGTATGTAATATTAACCCATTACCTGTAGCATTATACAGTCGGTTAGCGTCAACAAATTTCCGTTGGCTGACAGAACGCTTTTATTAAATAACACATAAGTATCGTCAAGACATTTTACCAAATCATTTTTATTACTTACAATAACGAAATACGAATATTTATTTGTTTGATAAGATACTTTAACAGCGAAATAATCCAGTAATATCCATTAGTTTACACAGAAAACAATTCACTCAATAATAATTTACTGTAAGCGTTGTATTTCCACATAGACGGTTGTATGCGTACTGTGTTTATGGACGATGTTATTGTGTATTGTACAGCGAGCGGAGGCGGGGCGGTTAGAAGTGGTAGCGGAAGGTGCTCTGTCTCCGCTGCAGCCCGCGCCTGATCTACATCACGCGCCGCTGCTGCTGCACCATGAGGTATATAGCATGCAATCAGCTTCATAATCAACCTATTAATATCCCCACTGCTGCGGCACAGGCCTTCCTTATGGATGGAATAGGGAGATTGGGCCGTGACCTACCACGCGAGGTGGGCCCAATGTGGATTGGTGGGTGCTAACGACTGCAGATGAAGACGGGAATAGCGCCTTAACGTGCCTTCCTAAACACGCAGGAGCTCGAAATACCAAGTTTTTTTTGGCCGACCATTTCGAAAGATTTTCCGTAACAAATAATAGGGAAATAAAAAAATCAACTGGTAAGGTTTAAAAGGAGTTTTATTAGACTTCCAATTTGAATTCATATATTTGAACTTTAAATACCAGTATCAAGCGCTCGAGAAACTAATTGAAAATTTTGACTCAACTGTAGACTTAAAGAATGGACACGCGCATGAAATTGACGAGTCAATAGAAAGAGACACTTCCTCCCTGTGGTGTAGTATCTATTTGAACTATTAATATTTAAATTGTTTACTTTCACTAAACAGTTGATTTGAGCGTTAGTCCATTCTCTTATGTTTATGAACGCATAACAATCCTTGCAGTCGTTGCATTTTATTTATTTATTAGCTTTGATTCAATTGAATGAGAAAATATGCTCCTATCCCCCAATTTAGGAGATATTTAACTTAGCTAACTATGTATTCTTTTTCTTTAATTGGTTTTTATATGAGTAATTTAATAACGATTCAATTTCCCATTGGAAGAAATTCAATTCGCCCACAATCAAATCGTCGAATGTGTCGAGTATTGAAATGCTACAACAATATTGAATAATTATCTCAGTAGCATACTAAACAAGTTGAAAAATTTTGTATTTAGTAAATAATAATGAGTTTTTTTTATTTTATCCAAGTAAAAGTTTAAATTAAACGAGTTTTCGTTACGTAAATCATAATTTTTCGACTTGTTTCTGCTCGATCTGCTGTTTTTTACAGAATTTTTCGTTTGCCAGACCAACTCGTTCTTTTGAATTATTTCCATGATTTTTAACACTTTTACTAGTGAATTTTGCTATATTTAGGAGTAGAATTGTTTAGTGCATGTGTGTTTATGTTTGTGTATGCAGGCACGAGGCGGCCTCGAGCTGATGACGCCGCATCACGCGCGGCACGCACTGTCACACCATCACGTGAGTTATATATCTATTTATTGAACTCTTTAAACGCAATATATTGCGTGCTAGTAAATATCGGTCTTAGTGTTGAGCCTTGAGGCATTCTTTTTGTAACTTTCGATATCAAGTTTTCTTGTATTGCGTAACGATTAACAGCAGCCAGTAATATCCCCCCCACTGTTGGAGCACACTCTTTTCCTATGGATGGAATAGGAAATGCGAGCTATGATCGGTTACTATTCCTGGTTGCTAACGACTGCAGATGCAGCCGGTACCAACGGCTTAACGTGCCTTGTGAAGCACGGAGGAGTCAGAGATAGTAAATGTATGCTCACTCATCTGATGATAGGCCATTGTGCAAGTTGCTTAACTTTCATGACCTCAGGTCTAACGACAAAACATAGTAGATTGTGTGTTAAACAATATCGGTCTTAGTGCTGTGCTTTGAGGCATTCCTTTAATTACTTTCGTTATTAACTTTGATATTACTACATAATTATGTTTTAAGTTGTAATATTTTATCTTTTATTTGTATAATAGTTACAATTTTCGCAAAAGATTTACAAAAAGGTATATGCGTGATTTGTTTTCATAAAAAAATTGTATTGTACGATATTTCATTTTATAAGTGATATATTTAGTTTTGATTAGACTATGTTCTCTGGGCTTTTGATTTAAAATGAAGCCATTTAGGAGACTTATAAAATGCAACCTGAATTGAATCTAAAACACAAATGAATTATTTAATCGGCAATTATTTAAAAATAGTTTATTTTTTATATCTTATAGTTAACTGATAATATTAATTTTATGTAAGTTTACATCAATACTTGTTTTCTGGTTTTGATGGCATCTTTTAACTGACGATATTATATGGAACAAAACAGGCAGCAAAAAATAAACCTTGCTGAGTTTCCGTATTGCCGTATATTTATGAACCGATGGCATAACGTTTGATTTTCACAAGAGCTTGTAACAGCCTAGACTGAATTTTGCATTGATTTCTAATTAGTGTTAGAATATAATACGATTCGAATGAAATTGAATTAAAATTCATGGTTTCCTTTGAGTAACGCTTGATTAAAGTATGTTATGGTCGGGCAGCGTTGTGGTACTTCGGAATAAACGGCCAGAAAAGTCTCTCATAATTAGTCAGTGTGTCCCGGATAGCGGATTAATCACACATATATTTCGATTTTTTGAATTAATATAAAAAACGACTATTTGATAAAAAGAAGTCTGTCAATGATCACAAATGTGATGCTTCACTTTTTATTTTCAAAAATTCAGACATCTATGTTTAGTTTAATGACTTTTCAGTAAAACATTCATCGTTCTCGTTTCTGTATATCTTCGCCCTTTCTTTCTGAATATTGTTAGTATGTCGGGGATATCTATGTCGTATGTTATGGATGTATGATGTAATATGTCGGGGTTAACAGCGCCGCAGCGGGGGCGTGGGTGGCGTGGGTGGCGTGGGCGGCGTGGGCAGCGTGGGCGTGGGCGTGGGAGGCGTGGTGGGGTCGGGGTCGCGCGCCGCCCGCCCCTACGTGCGGCACACGCACGCGCCCAGGTGGCCGCACCACGCGATACACCACATACACGCGCAGGTGAGCACTGTCTCGTGACATACTAGACAATCATCATCATCATCATTAAACAATATCGGTGCTAGTGTTGAGCCTTGAGGCATTCTAGACCAGAGTTCCCCAAACATTTTTGTGTCGTAGACCCTTTGCCATGTTTTTCCGTGTTGGGTAGACCCCCTCCTTACCTGATATTAATTTTTTTTCGCTGACGTAGACCCCTTGCAGGTTGTCATAGACCCCTAGGGGTCGATATAGACCACTTTGGGAATCACCGTTCTAGACGATCATCATTATCAACTATATTGAGTGTAAAACAATATCGGTGTTAGTGTTGAACCTTGAGGCATTCCTTTTCTTACTTTCGATATCAAGTTTGATAATACTACGTAACTATCGTCTGCATCGGTTAGCCTATTAATGTCATTGACTTGAGTGTTGTAAACAATAAAGTTAACAAAGATATGGATTTATCTTAACGAAATCACTTTAATTTTGCGTTTTTGTTTTCAACATAATTTTTAATTACGCTATTGTGTAAAGAGACGAATTATTCTTAAACATAAAGAGAAAAGGACTCAATATTGATCTCTGAAAAACCATCTACTATTATAACAGTTTAAATCAGTCTCGCTCTCGATGTTGTTTTCAATATTTTTTGTAGTCTAACAATAATAACCTGATAAAACTAATTGAATTATAAACTTAAATTTCCTTAAATATGTTTCGTTGTTTACTCTATCAAATGCTTTGAATATTTTTATGTTAACTTGTTGATAACTAGGCCGCTTTTAGTTCGTTTAGATAAAACCTATTCTTATCTACATCATAATATATATAAAATGGCTTCACCGATTTTTAAGTATTTTTTTTTGATAAGGTTGTGGCTAAATTTATACCCTCATTCCACGAACTTGCCCATATTTTCGTGATCATACGGCGGCATATAGTTCCTTGTTGGTGATTTATAAAATTGATGGGAAACTTTGTATGGATGCTGTTTCTCCTTTATGCTAAAACGGCTGAATAGATTTGTAGGAAATTTAGCATCATCATCTTCATCAGCCTATTAATGTCCCCACTGCTGGGGCACAGGCCTTCGCTATGGATGGAATAGGGAGATTGGGCAATGACCCACCACGCGAGCCCAGTGCGGATCGGTGGGTGCTAACGACCGCAGACGCAGCCGGGACCAACGGCTTAACGCGCCTTCCGGAGCTCGGAGGAATTCGAGATAGAAAATTTTTGGTTACCCATCCAATGACCGACCACTGCGAGAGTTGTTTAACTTCAACGATCGCAGTCGAACGCGCTAACCACCTGCGCCACCGAGTTCCAACGGCAGCCTATATCTTCTAATATATAAAATTCTCGTGTCACGGTGTGCGTAATTGAACTACTCCGAAACGGCTCGACCGATTTTTGTGAAATTTTATATGCATATTCAGTAGGTCTGAGAATCGGACAATATGTATTTTTCATCTCCCTAAATGTTAAGGGTTAACCGTAATTTATTTTTAACAAGATTTTTGATTTAGTTTTTTTATGATACACAATATTCACCCTTCTACCACCAACCCCTATTTTTTAATGGCGGTATGAAGTTTGCGGGGACAGTTAGTATCTTAGATTAAAACAAAAAGGGAAGATACGGCATTCGCGGCTCAAAAGTGATCCGCTTAAATTGTGGTCCACGACCATAATTCGCTTTAGTCACAATTTGACATTCAAACACGCTGCATGTACACTCAGTATAACAATATTGCGTATATTCTGTGTTATGAAGTTAAAACAATGCCTTCGATGCTTTTATAAAGAGCAAAAATAGTTCAGCATTGCTTTTCATTCGTAAAACTGTGTATTTTTTTTTTCTCAAAAATCACGGTTTGACGTGAATATTGTAAGAAAGAAAAGGACAACAATACGCTGCGTTGAAGCGTATAGTTCTGTCTCGCTCACTCGATTGATGTTTATATACAGACGTGTGCGTGGCGAGAGTTGCTTCTGTAATTAAAGCTATTAACGGGATTGTTACCATGTATCTTGTTTTTTATGAGTTTTCGATATTTCGGCACTGTTGCAAGCGCTATGATCACGAAGTAACTGAAGTAATTGGCGGGTAGATGTTATTGGCAGACATATCGGTCTACCCTCTGACGTCGTCTTCTACTGCGCTCGATACCCCTACCATTGGTCACATTCTCACTATTCACTCGCACCTGTTCCCGACACACAAGGTACATGGTAACAATCCCGTTAATAGCTATAATGTTGGTGACCATGAAAGTTTAAAACAATATGTTGCTTATGTAGTTGCGTCGGATCATATTTTATTCGATGCTAGTATGAGCGTACCGTCATTTGTTTCCCGTGGTCCACCTCCTAGTCCACCCAGGTGGACCACGGTGTTTATTTTTTTCCCATGGTCTACCCTACTATGGATGTTCTTATGAACAAAAAAGCAGTTACAATTTTTAAAATCATTTAAGCGTAGTTTTTCTAAAGCGCTTCATATAGAAATATTGTTGTTAATTAACTGCATCTGAATATCTTTTATATAATCATTGTTTTCAATGAATTTGCACCTTTTTGATTTTGCAATTCTTATTGTGCTCAAGACACTCGAGAGCCGTAATAAATTGAGGAAGAGTCAGGTGGACCACGGGTAAAAATTATTTCCCTTGGTCCACCTGGTGAACCACGGGAAATAAATTATCCCCAATGGTCCACCTGGGTGAACTACGAGGTGGACCACGGGAAACAAAGGCGTACCGCAGTGGCGACGCTAGGCGTCGGCGACGTCGGCCACGTCGGCCACTGCCGACGGCCTCGCGCCTGAGGGGGCCTCGCAAAAAATTTTTACAAGTTACCTATTTATTTTCGTTTCTCCTGGCCTGGCTTAGGCAGCCGACCCCGAACAATTCGGGGAAAAAGCGAAGCAGATGATAATGTTTTTTTGTCATCATTTGATTATCAATAATAAAACTCGTTTACTCATACGTTATTTTATAATTTGGCTCACTTAATTTAACGGTTTTTTACTGCGAAGTAAAATAGGCCTCGCGAACTTGATGTCGCCGACGTCCACATGTGGTCTAGCGCCGCCACTAGCGTACCGTATCTACCCTTTTTGTTTTAATGTAAGGTTAGTATAGGGTTATAGATATTAACGGGATTGTTACCATGTACTTTGTTTTTTATGAGTCTCCGATATTTCGGCACTGTTGCAAGCGCCATATTGTGTGCCGGGAACAAATGCGAGTGAATAGTGAGAATGTGACCAGTGGTAGTGGTAGTATCGAACGCAGTAAAAGACGATGTCAGAGGGTAGACCGATATGTCTGCCAATAACATGTACCCGCAATTACTTCAGTTACTCCGTGATCATGGCGCTTGCAACAGTGCCGAAATATCGGAGACTCATAAAAAACAAGGTACATGGTAACAATCCCGTTAATGTCTATAATGTTAGTGACCATGAAAGTTTAAAACAATATATAGTATAGGGTTTTAATGTAAGGTTAGTATAGGTATAATAATACGTAGGTGTGTGTTGCGTGCGCGCAGGGCGGCGGCGGGCTCGTGGGCGCTCCGCTGCCGCCGCTGCACGTGGCCTCGCCGCTGTCACTGCCGCCCCCGCCCCCGCCGCCTACCTACCAGGTCAGTCATACCATCTAATACAGTGAAACCTGGTTAATTGGGATCTCAAGGGACCAAGACATATGTACCAATTATTGAGGGTATCCAATAATACAGTTTTCCAATGAGGGTGTTTATGAGAATTTACTTCACCAGTTGGCGCCACTAGGACGTGAGGTCTTTTGTATGAAGTTTTTGGCGCGAACTCCATAGACCAGATCCATAGTCTATGAGAACATATGGGAATTGACGGTACTGCCACCTGGTGCCCGTCATTCCAGAAAACCCTCATTAAGCAGGTTTAAAATTATAGTTGTCGTAATTTTTATTCGCGATTTCTGCGTTGGTCCCGTAATAAAAGTTGTTCTTGTTGATGGGTAGAATCATCCCCTAAGAGTTTGTTGGTGTTTTAAAATTATCCCACATGTATATTTGTTATTTTTAAATGTCCTGAATTAATGCAGAGCACTCCTCAATGTATGTGGGAAACACAAAGAGGTCATAAATAGAGTCTGTGCGGAAAGAGAATGGGATTTAGATTGGAGGGCGCTGTAGTGCTTTTCTACCGTATATGTAAGGTTTTACCACTTTTAGACATGATTAAATACAAAAAACCGCAAGAAATCACAACAACAAACAAATCCGTATCAATACAAAACTTTGACGTTTTACAGATTGCTGGGTTTGATTGCCAAATAAAAATCTTAATGTTAGTTCCGTTTTTCGCCACGCCCATTCTCTTTCCGCACAGACTCTAACAGAGTTCTCTTTCATATAGCTCATTTGTCCGATTTTCCCCGTTTTGCCTTAACACAGCATAAGACAAGCATTTTTTTCTTTACGGCATCCCAGTGTATATGTTGTATATATACAATTCTCGTGTCACAATGTTAGTAACCATACTCCTCCGAAACGGCCTGACCGATTTTTATGAAATTTTATACGCATATTCCGTGGGTTTGAGAATCGGCTACTATCTATTTTTCATATCCTTAAGTGATAATGGTTGTCCACCTGTAACGTAGTGTTCTGAAACCCACAATGCGCCTTCGCGCCAAAATTCAAACTATTGGGTATTGTAACGTAGCGTTCTCATATGGGTTAGGAGGAATGTTATTCCAGGAAATTGATAGAACACTACGTTACATAATCCTAAAATTTTTTTGGACAGTATTTTTTTTATAATGTGGTTTTAAAAAATACTTACAACCCTAAATTTTCTCTTTTACCACCTGCCTTTTATATGGCGGTACGAAGTTAGCTGGGTCAGCTAGTATTATATAACATCTTAAATCTTTATCGCCACATAGGTGTTCCTGAATCTCCTGGCGATGTTCCCCGTGTCTCCTTACGCGGAGGCACGCGAAGAGGGCGGCGATTCGCCCGAGACAGAGAACTATGAAGCGCTTCTCTCATTGGCTGAAAGATTGGGAGAGGCCAAACCTAGGGGACTCGCAAGACACCACATCGATCTGCTGCCTTCATACAAATACTGCCCGCAGACGCACCAGGGTATGTATATATGGGTGATCTTATAGGTCCTGACAACTAGGGAATTATGGGCTTCTCTCATTGGCTGAAAGACTGGGAGAGGCCAAACCTAGGGGTCTCGCAAGACACCACATCGACCTGCGGCCTTCATACAAATACTGCCCACAGACGCACCAGGGTATGTATATATGGATGATCTTATAGGTCCTGAAAACTACTGCTGTTCAAGTTTTCATACGAAATTTGACAATGACAGTTTGGACTCGCAAACTATTCGAATTCGATATTGGTTCGTGCTAGAGGTACTGTTTACTAAGCAGATGAGTTCCAAGTAGCTCATTGACAACTTTACTAAACGATTGTGAAACAAGCCCTAATTGGTGTGAAAATAAATAAATGAAAAACATTTATAATTTTTATTTTTTAAAAGAAAATACTACTAAAACCGCGGTAGCATAATGGTCAGTGCATTCGCCCGGATAGCGAAGGGTGCGGGTTCGAGTCCCATCTGCTGCCTGGTCCGCGTGGATTTTTTTCTAGATTTCTCTTTAGATGAAAAACATTTGTTAATTAATTTTATTTATAGCACAGTGTGACCTAAACCCGCACTTTACGCACGCTTTTCCGTGACCTAAGTTGCCTATTTCTGCACGGTGTGCAGAATTGACCAACTTCACTCATGTAGAATTAGTACATTACAATACGCGTAATTTAACTTTACTATGCCAATCAAGGAATAAACGTTCATGGATACATTGAAATTCTATTTTGTTGTAATGATATTTGATTTTTTCCTTTTGAAATATACTTTCAAAATGGTAATCTGAACCGGAATTCTTTCTTTTCAGAGTTTGACTTGCAGTCTGTATTGCAATTCTTTGTGATTGCAATACATGAATTTTACTTTCAAAACACTAATCGCAACCCCCCCTCTTGCCCGCGTCCGGGGCGGGTTTATGTCACACTTGCTATAAAATAGTATACGATACTTGTGGCCTAAGCTGTCTATTACTGCACGGCGTGAAGTTAGCGCCCGAGCGGAGCGAGCTAATAGGCAACTTAGGTCACGCGTATCGTAATGTACTATTATATGTGCCATATTAGGCGAGCAGTCGTCGTGCGTGGTCTGCATGTGCGAATTCGAGTCCCGGCAGACGCTGCGTGTGCTGCCGTGTGCGCACGAGTTCCACGCCAAGTGTGTGGACAAATGGCTACGGGTATGTCTGTCTCACTTGCTCACACTGTCAACATATGTCTGTTTCACTCACTCACACTGCCAATGTATATCTGTCTCACTCACTAACACCCTTAATGTAGGTCTGTCTCACTCACTCACACTGCCAATGTATGTCTGTCTCACTCACTCACGCTGTCAATATATGTCTGTCTCACTCACTCACACTTTCAATGTATGTCTGTCTCTCTCGCTCACACAATGTATGTCTGTCTCACTCACTCGCACTGTCATTGTAAGTCTATCTCACTCCCTCACTCACACCGTCGGTCTGTATGACTGTCTTACTCACTCACACCGTCTGTCTTTCTTTCTCACTCACTCGCACTGTCAATATAATGTCTGTCTCATTCACTCACACACTGTCTGTGTATGTCTGTCTCACTCACTCACTGTCTGTGTATGTCTGTCTCACTCACTCACACTGTCAATATATGTCTGTCTCACTCACTCACACTCAATATATGTCTGTCTCTCTGTCACTCACACTCTTAATGTATGCCTGTCTCACTCACTCACACTCAATGTATATCTGTCACTCACACTGTCAATGTATGTTTCTCAATCACTGTATGATACAAACAGTGTTCCATTAGGAAATCATTCTATATTAGGAATAATAGATTACATCTCAATAGTAACGCAGTATAGAACAGACTCATCCCCGCTGGCTGCACCCGTTCACGAGCATGACGCAGGAACCAGCCATCGCTTCGCTCAACCATATTTTACGGAACGTATAAATGAAGAGTAAGCTTGAATTATGTTTTGTCGCTGTTCATTAAATTACAAATGTTACTTGAGTGACATGAACGAAACCCGGTTTAACTAGTCTAACTTAACTTATTTATATTTTTTTTCTATTTGCGTTCCCTAAAAAATGGTTGAGCGAAGCGATGGCTGGTTCATGCGTCATGCTCGTGAACGGGTGCTGCCAGCAGAGATGAGTCTGCTCTTGCTTCATTGGGTACTATTAATCGTTGTACTAAACTTTAATCGTTCTTTAATTTTTTGTCTACTCAGTAGGACACGGCATTCCTAAAATTTGTTTAACCAGTTTTTTATATTTTTTCTTTATTTTATAGTCATAATTGTTATATTATTTGCATTTGTAATGGAAGGTGACTTTATGAGTTACCTCATATTGAAGTCGTTTTTCAAATTGACGACTCTGTATATAATACAGGGAGAAAAAAGCAGCCCTTGCTGAGTTTCTTGCCGGTTCTTCTCAGTACAAGGTCTCCCGCCGTAGATTTGCGAACCGATGGCGCGTAGCTTTTCGACATTCACAAGTGCTTGTAACAGCCTAGACTGAATAAACGATATTGAATTTTTTGAATTTAAGCTTATCCCTTGTTTGTTAATAAGAGGGTTTATGTTTAGATTTAGAGAATGTTGCCAGACTTTACACCATTAAATTAAAATTAAATAAGTAATCATATTTTAACCTTTTTTTTTTCCACAGTCGAATCGGACGTGTCCCATATGTCGCGGCAACGCGTCGGAATACTTCAACAACTCGGAGTGACTCGCGAAGCGCGACCAATCGCCTGCGACAAAGTCGCACCGCGTTGCGACCAACTCTGCACACACGCGCCATATCACAAAGTGACCGAAAACTGTTAGTATCTTTTGTGGTGTGCGAGTATCGTATTGAAAATTGAAATGGACTTTTGCTCTCGAAATTTGAGAATCGGAGGAAAGTTGCAGGAAATCACAGACATTGCTTCTCACAGAGCCGTGGTGACACCTTCTTGGAGGCGACAAGGAATTTGTTTGATTTGTGAAGTTGTTGCGCCATTACGAACTCTAATCCTTTAGCTTTTAGGTTCAATCTCCACTGTCAAGCGAACGCTACGATAGAAAGCCCGAGCGCTCGACTATGGACTATGTATTTAACGTTTTAAGGTCTAGAATTTAGTGCCAGGACGCTGAAAGTGCGAACGCCAAATTATATCACTAATAAAATGAACAACAACGTATCTTTCTTAATAAATAAACTTTAAAAAAATAACTCGCTTTAGTGTGTGATTGTATCTGCGTGGTGACGAACGCACGCGCAGACCAATTGTTTTATAAATATACATATTGAATCTATACATACATACATATATATATATTATTATTATATTATAATTAAAAAGTGAACATTATATAGTTTTGTAAACGAGTTACCGTGTGCCGAGACTCGAAGTAAGACGTCTTTTCGTGTATAAAGTACTATATCACTAGTATTTTGACAAAATCAATCAAATATTTAGCCTAAATTATTGATGACATTTTCGACTTTAAACCTTAGCAATTGATGTATTGGTCATAGAAATATATAGGAATTCATATTTGGAAAACTATCATCCGACATAATGTACCCTTAGCACGAATCAATATCGAATTCGAATCGTTTGCGAGCCCGAAATATCATTGTCAAATTTGTACAGACTTTTAGTTCTCGTTGTGGCGCTTCTGTTCAAGTTTTCATACAAAATATGACATTGACGTTTCGCACTCGCTAGCTATTCGAATTCGATATTGGTTCGTGCTAATGGTACTGTATTCTGGTAAGACGAAAATCGCTTGAATTATATTGCGACAACGCTCTATAACTCTACCAAGTTATTGTAATCAAGTGCAAACAATTATGAACTTTAAATGAAAAAACCTTTTGGTATTGCAAAATTAAGTCGGGAACTTTAAACTCTTGGAATATTCTAGCAGCTTCTAACATATTATCCATTATGCTTCCGCGATATTTAAGTATAGTCGCTAGTGATGTAGCACTTTATATGCTACTAAAATTAGTCGTGTGTAAGGATAGTAAGATGTGACGTGTCGCGGCCTTAGTCTTCGCGTGTAAAGTTAGTTTAGTCGTGTTTAGTTGTTAGCCCGTTCGTTAGTCGATGGCCGGCGGCGGACCGAGTTAAGGGGGGGGGGGGGGGAGATTTATTTAGTCGTTTTTAGTTGAAACCTCTCATGTATGTATCGTAGTGTGCAATTTCTTCTTTTTTGTTAGTTGCAATACTAAATGGTTAAAGTTGTTGTTAAAGTTATTGTAAAATTTGAAGCCTCATTTTTGTGTATAAGTTTGATTTGATGATGATAAATATAGGATGTTTCGTTTGTTGTATACAGGATGATTTGTTTGTTGTATACAGGATGTTGGTTTTCTTTTAGGTTATTGCTAGTAGAATGCTCCCTCGCGCCGTCGGTCCGTCTGTATCGTGGTTCCGTTTAATCGCTTGTTGTGATCTTAATAACGCGTCCTCACTGCGGTTTTTTAAAATAATAATAATGAGTAATGTTAAAATAGTGCATGCGGTCGATACTCGGGTCGGATCTGGGATGGGTGGGCGTGCCTCGTGGGGCGGCTCTTCAATTCTAAAGAAGTTTTGATGAATGCAATCTGTGTACGTGTTTTTTTCTATATAAAAAAGAGAATTAAGCAATAATCAATTATAAAATTAAATGTTAACAGATATTTCGACTTATTTACTTAACTTTTTTTTTAGATTCAATTATTCGTCACTGTTATTTGGGTCTTTTGCGAGTGGCAGAAGATTAATTCTATTTGTAAGTATATCTTTGGTGTTACTATTTAAAAACTCGGATCTAAAATTGTTTTTTTTTTCTGATTTTGGTTTTAATTCAGGGCTTGAAACCCGTTACAAAAATGCCGGTAAATAAAGGTTAATACCGGTTGTCAGTAAGGGTTTCCTTCGGAGCGCGTCCGAAATGAAAGCGGTACCTAAAACCTTAATAAACCGGTTTAATCCAGAGCGATACGTGCACGCGTCGACATCGCTTGAAGTTTGTTTTGTTTGAACTAATCAAGTTACAACTTGTTAATGCTCAGAGATTTATACATTTATTGACACATTTGCTAGCGTCTAGTGAGTCAAGTTATTCATTTTGCAGTTGTGTATTTATTTCAGTCGTCAGTAAGAGCGAAACGAAACCTTTTAAAAACTGCTAAATTGATTCAAAACCTATTTGTATTCGCTTTTTAGGAAAACCGGATTTTTTAAGGTTAAGGTAGAACCAAACCTTAATAAAACGCTCCTAATGTACTTGACATTGATTTAGGTTCGAAAATTAACCGGTAAACAAGCCCTGTTTTAATTAATAGGTATTGGTATATAGTGTACTATGAAATTAAGTTTTAAATTGGATTATGTGCATTATTGTAATTTTTACATTTTCCCAATGTTATTTTGGTTTATTATAGTTTTTTTTTCTCGTCTTTGATGTACTAGACGCCTTACAAGTTCCTTTAAATAAAATTTGATTGTTCAAATCCCTTAACTATTATTCTAAGTACTATGTGATTCTTTGATTTTATTGCTTATATATGAGAAGTTTTCATTGCTAAAATGTAGCCAATTCTATTGTGACTAAATTTTATTAATAACTAATTGGGGACACTAAAATTTTAATAACACCCAAAATGAGATTTTAATAAAAAAAATCTGTTTTGTCTTGTCAATATCTCAATACTTATTCTCATAACCTTTAGTTCAACGATAAAAAATAAAATCGTATTGTAAATAAAATATTTAGTTGATATTCTACCGCCGCCCCACCTGGTAGCGTCGAGTCGTGGTCTGCTTGTGCAATAATAGCCCTTATTCCGTCGCGATAAAGGCGAGATTCGTCCGGCGGCACCTGTCGAAGGCAATACGTCGCGAGGTTGTGTGTGCGTGTGCTTGTGGGCTTGTGTGGTGCGTAAACGTAGCGCGAACTGTCTGTAGGCTAAACTCGACCCTAATGTGTGTACGTACGGTCCACTTTTGAATCTGCTGTGAAACCATAGAGGTATAAGAATAGAGTGGGGAAGGCGGCTCTAAAAGTGTCCGTCTAATAGAAAGAGAAAGAAGATCGCTAGCTATCTTTCTCTCTTATGACGCATGGCATCCAATGGCATCACATCGAAATAGTAAGATGCTCACGGTTGCCAATGCGCATGCGCGATTAGAGAGAAAGCTAGCGGTCTCTCATCTTCTTTCTCTTTCTATTAGAGGGACACTTGTATTAGAGTCTATATCTGCCATACTGTCAGTGACGGCGCTAGGCGTCGGCGACGTCGGCCTCGCGCCTGAGGGGGCCTCGCAAAAAATTTTTACAAGTTCCCTTTTTATTTTCGTTTCTCCTGGTCTGGCTTAGGTAGCCGACCCCGAACAATTCGGGGAAAAAGCTAAGCAGATGATAATGACTTTTATTATTTTCTAACACGTGCGCGATGGAAGCGAGTAGTACTTTACAGGTATTCAGAATCGTCTGTCTGGCAACACTATTTTTGTAATTAAATTTCTATGTTTGTAATTATTTTTTGTCATCATTTGATTATCAACAATAAAACTCGTTTACTCATACGTTATTTTATAATTTGGCTCACTTAATTTAACGGTTTTTTACTGCGAAGTAAAATATGCCTCGCGAACTTGATGTCGCCGACGTCCACATGTGGTCTAGCGCCGCCACTGCATACTCTATTCTTATACCTCTATGCATGAAACCCCTTGAAAATATAACCAATCAACGCAGAACCGTTTCGATTTGCTGTTGTTTCAAGCTCGTTGTAACGGAATGGATGTCCTCTCTTTCTTATTGCATGAACGGGACAAGGATAGGTAGATAGCGGCTTTGAAGATACTGTAACCTGTTCATTTGAAATTTATCAGAGACGTTCGTGGATGTATGAATCGTCTTTATAGAAATGTAATTTTCCACGCTGCTTTGGAGATAATCTTTCTTTTCTGTACGAAAACAGATAATGGACACATACCCTGAGAATTTACTAAAAAAATAAATCATGCTCTATGGATAGAGTCTGTGCGGAAAGAGAATGGGCGTGGCGAAAAACGGAACTAACATTAAGATTTTTATTTGGCAATCAAACCCAGCAATCTGTAAAACGTCAAAGTTTTGTATTGATACGGATTTGTTTGTTGTTGTGATTTCTTGCGGTTTTTTGTATTTAATCGTGTCTAAAAGGGGTAAAACCTTACAAATACGGTAGAAAAGCACTACAGCGCCCTCCAATCTAAATCCCATTCTCTTTCTGCACAGACTCTAACTACATTCATGTCTGTGACTATACATAACTGTTGGTTTTGCTTTTAACAAATATGTCGAGTGTAAATAAATATTTGTCATTATTCCCATTTCGTTTCTTAGATGATTATGTAATTAAAATATATTGTTAAAGCAATATTATGTGTTTCGGTTTGTCTATATGTTTTGTTCGATTTGAGTTTGTGAATGGTCGTTTTTGTTTGTGATTGCCACAATTTCAGTTCTACATCCATTACATTCATAAAATTGCCTTGCACAAAGTGAGGGGCCGTTCAAGTGTTACGTAAGCAGATTTATTACAATTATTACCTCCTCCCCCTCGTCAGCAAAAGTAAGCAAAGCTCTTACCCCTCCCCCCCATCCTTACGTAAACATTGGTACCTATATGCATTTTTCCTTTAATGTATTCTGTTTTTTTATTGATTCACGAGCTTTCATGAGCAGCAGTACTTGAAAAGGCTTAATCGATGATGCTGACGTAATCACCATCTCTACCCCCCACCCCCCATGTTATCAAAAATAAGCAAAGCAAAGACCCCCTGCCCCCCTATAGTGCTTACGTAATACTGGAACAGCCCCTGACGAGGAAATTTTCAATGTACATTTAAAATCGCTCCAATTTTTGTCGCCATCTTGGTAAACGACTTGAAATACCTCTTTATTCATAACTTTTATTAAAGCAAGAGATCACACATTTACTTAGTTCGAATATAGTGAAAAGGTTTTTAGTAAACGGACCACTTTCGGAATACTGCGAGGTCAGCACGATAACGAACCTTAATCCCCATGTAATTAGGATGATTTATTTGCCATTTTACATTGTGAATATAATTCGTTTATATGTTGATATGTTACGATAAGTTTTTGGGTGGTCGAGGGTTTCATATTATGCATTGACGTATAAAAACAGGTAATACTCCCAATCGCCTAACAAAAGTGCTTAAAAAACGTCCGCTGCGTTGTACATATACATCAATTTATGCAGATAAGGTTAACAAAGGACACCCGCCATTTTGTGCCAAAGTTGTATACTTTTTTAAATTTTTTATCTGTGTTTCATAATTGGGTAACGTAGTTTGGCAATATTTGTCATCAGCAGCTAGCTGTCAATGTCAAATACGTAGGTTTGTCATCAAAAGGGTTTCTATATCAAAAAATATTAATCATTAAATAACTTCTTTCCACGATTCACTAAAAAAAAGGCAAAAGTAGTTTTATGTAGCAAATAATTTTGGCTTTATTTTGAGACCAAATTCAACTGTATACAAGTTTAGCATTTTTTCTATGAAAAGTGCCGGGTCTCCTTTATTTGTTTCTTAGGTTTTCACGCACATCTCTCATTAAATAGAACAATTTTCAACGGGTTTCGAAAGACTTTTAATGAGCGATTGGATATTTTATTGAAAGTTTTTTTCAAACTTTTTAATTTATTAATTAAATCGGCTAATAAATTCAAGCATAGATAATAAAGTTTTAAAAATCTACAAATGAAATATCCGAACGCTCAATAAAAGTCTGTTGAAGGTATTTCGACAAAGTGAAAACAGTGCAATTAAGAAATTTGTTCAAATTAACAATAAGGGTCAATATACACTCTTGTATACGAGAGAGAAACAGAGTTTGGTGCGAAAGAGATAGACAAGAATACGTGACGCGCATCCGGGGAGAGATATTTTGTTATAACAATCAAAATGTAATTAATTAACAATACGATAGAAAAACCAAAAATAGTGGTTTGTTTAAAAGCTTTAAAGGAATTCGCTTGAAATACGATGCTATCCACTTTAATCCAAAACGCGGACTAAACTTAGGGTGTCCTCCGTAATATATACCAGTATACAGGCCAGTGCTAATGACGTCATGAATC